CTGCTCATTTGATGCTGAGAAAGGGCTACAGCGACAAACATAGGCCTTAAGACCATGTTTATAAAGGTGACGACGCATGGTACTCTTGCTGACATGAGGGAAAGTGGTTTCGTTTGAGATCGGTAGCATCACGAGCTGAACCCAGATGCAAGCATTCTAGCAGCAGAACGACGGTCGGGCGACGAAAGCTTGGTGGGACGACCTGGCTTGGGCATAACAAAGTACGGATCACCAGTAAGGAGGAGCTTGCGGTGCAATCGGGAGACAGTAGAACGAGAAAGGCCAAGCCTTTTGGCACACTCAGAGTGAGACATGCCAGCGTGCTTGTAGTCCAATAGACGCACTTTACGAGTGGGTGTAGTGTAGTGCATAGAGTAGAATAGAGGTAATACTAAAGCCCAGGGTGCAAAAGGAGGCACAGGTGTCGAAATAATGAGCACTGGGGCAGCCTTTTTAAAGTGTATGTGCTGCGCGCATATGTAATGCAACAGCATGTTTTTTTTAGATCCGTCCGTCTCGTATAATTACTGCACATTTTGCAGTCTTTTTTACATACATATATTCGCAGTATATCACACTTAATTTACATGTAATTTATATGGGCATAAGTGTTGTGTGGAATGACGTGTAGAGGCAAAATGAAAAACACGTGGTGTGTTGCAATACTTTTGACGCGCACTGTATATCAACTCGCCTTTAGCCGGACCATTCATTTTCACCCTCCCCTTCACTCCTTCCCCGTCCATCAACCGTCGAGCTTGACGCTGGCGTTTTTCAACCAAAAGGACAGAGACAGACAGTTTTCGTAGTCTTAGTCGCCAGTCATGTCCCGCATAATGTCGTCTGCAGTCAGCATTGTCAGCCTCCTTGTATTCGCCCTGTCAGCCCTTATCGCAATCGAACCTGTGCGTGCGCTGGCGGTACCGGAGATGTTAACGATTATGAGGAGGGACGTATGGGCTCCTGAGATTACCTCGCCGGAGGAGGGTGATGTATGGAGAGTAGGAGAGACGGTGCTGGTCACCTGGTCAGTAGCGCTCCACACTCCCACGAACGTTTGTTTCATCTCCCTGACTATTTTTTTAATTCAGGTCTACTGAGGATGCACCAGCGCAAGTGACGAACTCAAACGGCCAGGTCGTTCTGCGCACTGTTGATGGGTTTGTACAAGGTCTGGGCGGATTGAACGAACCGTTGGCGAGCAACTTCTCGCTTTTCGATGGCAAGGTCGAACTGCAAGTACCTACGGTTCCTGCACGTACGGATTACAAGGTTGTTTGTACGTACTTATGACCTTTTCCTTTTATCCATCCTTTTCCTTATCGTATGACTGATCATCCGTGATCTAGTGTTTGGCGATTCCGGAAACGAAAGTCCCGGATTCACAATCTCAAATCCTGTAGTCGAAGCATTTAACTCGTTTTAACATCCGTCAATAACTGTTGGCCATGTTGTGACATCCACACGTCGAACTACGATTGTTTCTCACTTTTTGCTTTCAATTTTCGTCACGCATTTGTAATATAAAAAGCGCTTGCGCTTTTCTTGGATCGGGTCAGGACTCTGACGAGTGGAGGAAAGGACCTATGTCTGTCTCTTCCTGCAAGTTGGGCTCTTAATTGGACATTGTAGCTTGTACTGCATCATTTGTACCAACTCCCACGCGCTGTTTCTTTCTGCGCCGTTGTATTATTTATGAATTTATTGTTGTACATTCCGAACTATCCAGAGTTCAGTTGTGAAGGAACGATTGCCGTGCCTCAAAAATACAGTACCACACAAGCGAGAAGACTGAAAAGAGTATGTAAAAAAATTGGAAATCACACTCCACTCTGATGTTATTACTGTAAGATATATATAATCCACCTTGCCTTCAAAGTAACGTGATAAAAATATTCTTCCCTTTCATGAACAACTATTTGGCTAGTCAAGCAAAAATAGGTAACTAACGTATTGGACCGAGGGATGAAGAATGTCAGACCAAATCCCTCGGTATTTATTTACCAAGGTAAATGGATTTAAATTAACCTGACACATTAAGTAAGAATGTCAGCCCTGTGGATGCTCTACTGTTAAGGTGACATGTTTATTCCGAAATTTACCTTGCTGTTTGGTTAGTATCTCCTGTTGAAACTATACCATAAAACCATTGTTGCTTCTTAAATATTCGTTCTATTGAGATGTCCAGACGCGAAGGTCTTCTATTGCGCACGCAAGCATCGCGTCATCTTTGGGATGTCGCTGACGCCTTGGCATGCACCGCTTCCGCAGAGCTTATAGGCTAATCCTCCGGATCCGCTTCTTGGCAAGCGCCTCATATATTTCCGGCTTCAAACCGGGCTCAAATATGCTCTTGAATGCCTTTGATCCTCCGTTTCATTCGTCAGTTTTGAAGTCGATAAGGAAAGTAAGTGCCTCACAGTCCCCTACACGTATGAACTTTAACGATATCGGTTGAAAGCATGTCCAAATTGTCGTTCTACATCATTTGACATACAAGACAACAATTGTAGCTCCAACCATCCATACATGCAGATATTTCAGCGTGAATGCAATTCAGGACTCGCCTCACGGGAACCGCGGCCGTCTTTGCCGAGGCCTAATGAATCTTATTACTCGTGGAAATGACCTCACATCGCAGGCGCCATCTATATTTGGAAACGTACTTAATCCCCTCGTATTCGGTCCGCAAGGCACTCACACCCTCTCTCTCACCTATTCTCCGCTCGTACCTGTATGTGATCGTCGAGCCGTCTTCAGCTTCGTAGTTGTAGCTAACATAGATAGTTCAAGCTCCCAAATTTGTCAAAGTCATGAACGCCTCCAACATCCCCATCGCAAAGCCTGCCCGCGCCGCAGTCGCCCAGCAGCCATTGGGGGCCATTCAGATGGGTACGCATGATCTCATCTTGTTGTGGGCCCCAGCTCATCGCCTTTCCTTCACCTTCTCTGCCATCTGCTACCTTGCTCTCCACAACTCGTGCTCCTCGTTGTACCGACAATTTCGCATGTCATGTCTGACGACTTTTCTATCGTTGCGGCGGCACTTATACCCTACCCCGCCATTGCTTCCCAAAATTTATTCGTTCAATTCCGATTTTTTTTTCACTAATTGCAATTCCTGAACAGTTCCAACCTCTGCTCCAGCGGCTACCCGCCAGCAACCCGCTGAACAGAAGGCCATGCGTATCCGTGGTGGAGGAGCCTCCAAGGTAGGTACAGCACCGACTCTGCACCCCATTCCTCCCAACCATTCAGTCGGGTTGATTGGAGATCACACGTGCTTGACGTGTTTCTACTGCCCCTATTTTTATCCTCTCGCGTGGCGTATCCCTGGACCGCAGTTCAGGTACTTTTGCTATTCCAGATTTGAAGCTGACTATTTCGATTATTTCTCCAATAGGATTGCTTCCTAGGCATGCTTGAGTGCTTCCTTTGCTTCGGTACGTTGCTATCGCCGTCGCGCATTAGGCTATGCTTTAATCGACTATTTCTCCCGCACTGATTTTAGAATGCTGCAAGGTAAGCCGATACAGACTTTTCCCAGATTAGCTGCTTGCTCCGGTGCGAATTTGCGAATGGGTTTGCTAACGTGTCATTCAATTGGCGTGGCTTTGTAGGATTGCTGCGAGTGTTGGGCAGATATTTTTTGTCAGTGGATTTTCTTGAATAACAGACAGTTGCATTGCTCACTGTTCCATCGTAGGCTGCCCTTGCGAGACCATCGAATCCTGCTGCTGCTAAATTCGCTGAGCACAGGTCGCGACTTCGGGTCATGGAACTCGTGGTTTCGGTGTTCATTCGTGTTGTTGGACTTTCCTCCGAGAATACCTATCTGTTCCATCTGTGTTTCATTACTATGTAAAGCCTGCTCGGTCGTGGACTCCAACATCTTGTTTACCTGATCTTTACGGATGTACGCTGATAAGAAAAACTATGTGCCGTTCTGAACGTTCCTTGAGTTGTTCGAAGGACTACTACTTTACAACTTTCCAGGCTTGTTTTAACCAGTATATCTTGTACTTTCGGGTAAATCTGAGAATGTCTCAGAAGACTGGCAAGTTAGCATTCAGCAAATCTTCTGCACGCAAACATTGTTTCGTTTCAGAGAATCCTGGCGGATGTAGTGAGATGACTTGTCAATATACTTCTAGTTGTAATCCAGAGGTTGAGGACACTGTAAGCAAAATTTATTAATTTTCTTTTCAGACAATGTTATCATGTCAAGCTGCCACAAGTGAGATATATCCTGCTAACACTTTTATACATTTTTATTAACACCATTCGCATAACTTTTGTTTGATGCTGTTAACAATACTGTTGGAAGGTGTGTATATGCTCTGTCGCTCCAATAGGCAAGCCAACCTCCTAGGATGAGCGTGAGAAACCCGTCGATCCCCGCCCGCCTAAGTATGCTATCACTTCCGACTATGCTTATCAAGTCTTGACTTAAACCATATCATTACTACCAATGGCTATCGGAACGAATACCGTCTTGCAGGTGGCAAGTAGAGCCGAGTATGGCTTCAAGAACATTCCTGTCATGTACGCACACACGATTCGTTTTGTTTTTAATTCCAATCTTTTCAGACTGACTTATTTATCGATATCGGTGGAAATAGTGATATGAAAGACGCGGACAATGATCCTGCCGTCCGAAGACAAATAGCGAAAGATATTTTAGATGCATGTGTGAATGTTGGGTTTTTCTATGTCAAGAACCATGGGATATTGGAGGAGTTGATGTTTGATGCGCTTGAAGTCGGGAAGAAATTCTTCGCTTTGCCGGAGGAGACGAAGCTCAAGGTAAAAGTCCCTTATTAAAAGGAGTGCTATCATTGATTCGGAATTCTCGCAGTATGATAGCAGAACATCATCAAACCTCAAAGGATACACTGCCTTTCTTTCCGAAAATATTGATCCTGAAAACAGAGGTGACCTCCACGAAGGATACGACGTTTGCCCAGAACCAGAACCAGACGCTTCGGCTGAGGCCAACGGGAATGGAAGCTGGGGAGTTAACCGTTGGCCCGAAGAGGTTCCTGGATTCAAGGAAGCATATTTGAAATACTAGTGAGTACTGTTGTCTGTTTGTCTTCAGTATGAATAGTTACAGAGTACTTACTCACTTTTGTCTGTTATAATGGAAGCAAAGCGGCGACTGCGTTTGGAAAGAAGTTGTTCCCGCTATTTGCCCTTGCACTTGGTGTTGATGAAACTTTCTTTGATGATAAGGTGAATCTTAATAGAATAGCCAATGCCTTCCACTTCTGACGAACGTGTGTTTCAGACAAAGGGAGCTAGCGCATTCATGCGTGTTCTTCACTATCCTCCACAAACAGGACCCCATGATGATAGAATTTTGGGGATAGGCGCTCACACAGAGTACGCATTTACACTTGTGCTGCATCACACGAACGTAACTGACTGTGTTTAGTTTCGAGGTAATCATTCTCCGGAGTGATGTCACTACATCTGATTCTACTTGCTTAATCGTTTTGAACTTGCAGTGCTTTACAATACTTTGGCAGGAGCCCGGGATCGAGGCCTTGCAGGTCCTGAATGCCAATAAGGAGTGGATAAACGCAACGCCCATCCCAGGAACACTCGTCATCAAGTCAGTAATTCGAAAGAATTCTCATGGCCTACTCTCACGTTTCAGCCCAATTCTTCAGCATTGCTGATCAATTTATGCGCTGGACGAGTACGTGGAGCTTATCGTTCAGAGATTAAAATAGCTCATGGCGAGCAATTCTCATGATGAATTGTTGTCATAGATGACGTTTTTAAATCTACTGTTCATCGTGCGATAAACCGAACAGGCGTCGAGAGGTATTCAATCCCTCTGTTTTTCGGTGCTGATTACAATGTCAGGCTCGATGTACGTTAGCTTTCACTTATCAATTCATTGCTCCACCTCATACATGCTAACTATTATAACACCATTCACTGATTATTAGCCAATACCGACGTGTGTATCTGCTGATCGCCTACCACGATACGACGTTGTCACTGCTGGCGAATACTCTGAGGAACGACTTCGGGTTGCATATAAGAATGCGGTCAAAGCAAATTAGTCGGACTTATGAGAGGAGATGGATTTAATTCTTGGTTTGATTACTGCGCTTGAGATCGTGTTGCATTGTATATAGTTTTTCAACGTGGAAGTCATCATCTGTATACTAGTGTATTAAAGACGTTTGCTAGGCCATCTCAAAGACGTTATAAAAATGACGAAAAAGTATTTAAAACGTAAGAAGCGGTTGACCAGTCCAAACAGAATGGGCATTACAATTTGCATTAAGCAATAGGTGGAATATACTTTTATCGAAATCCCTAAAAATAAAACTCTACTGTTTTGCTTTCTTCACGTTCCCTCTTCGCGTTTTCTTCTTCTCTCCTTCCACCTTTCCCATTCCCCCGTCGTCAGCTTTCCTCTTCTGAGGAGCCCCTGTGCCAGCCTTGATACTGACGATAGACGATCGAGAAGTGCCCGCTGCCTTCACGTCTTTCGCTCCTTTCGCAAGACGTGCAACTTGTGCTTCCGCACTTGACCAGTCGGCTGTTGAGTCGGTGATAGCATACCTAGTTTGCATGTGTTGAACGGGGTTGGATCAGTTGAGAGAGAATGTGGATTTTTTCAAGAAAGGGAGAGTCTAGTGAGCGACACACGTATCATGGAAAATGGTATTAATAACTATAAGCGAAGGACTTACTTGCTTAGATCAAGCGAATCGATCATCTCGCGTTGTTTCTCCTTGAACGCTCTTCGTTCGGGTGTCTCTTTGGTATCTTCTCCGTCTGGTTTGTCAACACCTTCAGCTGTAACAACGCCGTTGACTTTCTCCGACCTATCTTGCAATCCACCCTCTTCTTCGTTATCATTGTCATCGTCGTCGTCGTTGTCGTCTTCAGCACCCTTTTGAGTATCCACATCCATGCGCGACGTCGTACCGATAGCAGAAGCGGAAGTAGGTAAAGCAAGCTCAGCGCTGATAGCAGCCTTTTGTACGTCCTGTAGACGTTTCGTGATTTTCCGCACGACTTTCACGAATAGCGCGAGGGCTTGGGATACAGGGAGTTGCAACTCGGCCTATCAGTTCAAGGATTCGCAAAAACGTCAACCTCAACCATTGAACGCGGAAAAATGGATGATAAAAAAAAAGGACGGACCTCAACCTCCTCAATAGTCTTCCTCTGCAACCCAATAGCCAACAATATCGAACTCTGTACCGCACTCAACCTCACTTCCGGACCTAACCGCTTTTCGAAATATAATGTTGCGATTGTAGGAAGTAAGTCGAGGATGACGTGGTAGTCGAGTAAGTTGTTTGCGTAGGACTCCAGTCGCTTGATGTCGAAGGGGGTCATTAGGATTGAGAGTTCTGGTGAGCCGATTTCTACGAATGTGGCAGAGTTAGTAAATGTCTCGATGTAATACATGAGCGTGAGGATTGAGACGAACCTCGTGCAGTATCTGTGTCCAGACGTTTCAGACCTTCATCCGCAGCACCGAGTATACTCAGCCCCATCACGCTTCCGAATTCTCTGAACTTGAAAGATAGGAGGGAGAGGAAACGTCTTCTGAAGTCTAGATAGACATGCAGTTAATTGAAGCAACAGCTCAATATCTTTGTTGCACCCAAGAGGACGATAGAAGGGTTGAACAATAAGAAGAAACACACCTTTTGCAAACTCCCCAAGCCACTCCAGCTCACCCTCATTCGAACTATTCAACCCGCGAACCATGACACAACTATGTTCACCTGTGAGTTCGCTTGTTGTTTGACGGATGTATAGCGGTACGTAGCCCGCACGCTTCCAAAATCTGGACATTTCCTCTCAGCAACAACATTTTGACAAGGGCAAATAACGGAGACGTACCGAAGAAGCGACGGCGTCAACCCATAGGAGACTCCAAGATAATCTAGCGTCTCAGGTTTGCGTTCTGATAGACGCTGTAAGAGAGGAGGCATTGCGGTAGGAGCACGGATGGTGGGGATATCTGTTAGTAAATCGGTGTTCTATAATTAAAGGGAGTCGTTGTCGTTAGCGATTTAGTGTCTATTCGATATAAGGTATCAGGTGTAAGGCCTCACCTTGTCAAACGCTGCAGGATTGGGGTACGAGCGTTCTTCTCGAATGGTTTCGTCTAAGTTGAAGTATTCGCCGCTGTAGTACGAGTTAAGTGCTTGAAGGGCACGAGCTCCGTAGCCCATCTATTTCGACATTTCGAAAATGAGTAAAAAGATGTAACGGGGTCAAAGAAATACGAGTTGACATACATTCATATAATCCGGATGAGTAGCAACCCTAACAACCCTCGCACCCGACATCCGCGCAAACGTCGACTCCTGAAACTGCTGCGAAACCAACCAAGGTATCAAATCCCCCCCAGTCCTCAACCCCCGACTCAACGACTCCATAATAACCTGTTTACTAATATTCCCTTCCAACGCAACTTGCAACACGACAATCGGCTCGGGGAGGTGACTTTCATCGTCTTTTAGTGGGGGGAGGAGAACGAAGAGGTGATGTGCGGGTGCGTCGGACATGAGTTGTAAGTCGTTTGGTTGGTTTTTATAGTGGCTTGCTACGTATAATGCCATCATGCGTTGGAGGAAGACTTCTGATGCGGGGTGGAAGCTGAATAGTGTGTCGCGGGAGACATAGAATAGTTCGCATTTACTGGGGTGTGGACAGCCTTGAGCTAATCCCCGTGAAGCGATTGTAGCGTCGAGACAGAGTAGGGTGTTTAACCATGATTCGACGCGATCACCTGAGCCGTAACGGATGGGAGTTTCGAGTTTGATCTCGCGGAGAGAACGGGGTTTTAGAGGTGCGTTTGTTTGAGGCTTTTTGGATCGAGAGGTGGTAGCTGTTTCGTCGTTAGTTGAAGTAGCAGATGGACGAGTGCTTTCACGGAGTTGTTGGATGAGTTTGAGGGAGAGTGAACGGCCGGTTCCTTCGTAACCGTTGATTGTAGAGGCCATGAAGACAAGGTACGGTCCGAGGAGGTTCCGAACTAGTGGAAGAGGAATAGCTGCAGCTTCGTCGATGATGACGAGCTCCGCTTGTCCAAGTACATGAGCGTCTTGTGGTTGAATGTATTGAATCGTTTGCCGATGGTCTCTGAAGATGTTTACCCGCACGATTGCCTTGTTGAAATCCGGGTTGGTGCTTTGCGCGATATCATAGTCGAGATGCTCTTCATATCCAAGTACGTCCATGCCCTTAAAGATGAACTCGAATAACGTTTTCAGGTTCTCTGGGCTAGGACTCGTGACGAAAATGTTCGAATAGCCATGTGCAAGTGCAGCTGCGATCGCAAGTCCCAGCGCAGCAGACTTTCCACGTCCTCGAGCGGCGGTGAGCGATACAGTCGAGCTCAAAGTCTTCTCTGCAATCGCATCGACGAACGTGAGGATCGCTTTCGCTTGGTCTAGCGTCCGAGCGAGTTTGACTAGCTCGCCAACTGGTTTGGTGTCTGCTAGGCTTGCGCGTAGCTCAGCGAGCTCGTTATCCGCTTTGCTCTTCCCTTTCTCTGTCTCTTCGAGGGATTTTATGTCTTTACCGCGTGAGATAGGGAGGACGTTGAGCTCGTCGTCGAGGACGAGGCAGTCTTCACATGCGCCGAGGGAAAGAATGAATCGCTCGTTGAATCGCGCGACGACAGAGTCGTGTGAGGATGTTCGATAGCGTGCATGTACGTCCTAAAGTAATTTCAACTTCAGTCATCAAAGTTCAGGTGAAAATGCGTACCATGGACATAGTATATAGCTGTCGTAGCGAAGTCATAGTCTTCAGCAGAAGAACAACCAAGCCTCCACCCTCAACGGTTTCAATCGTCCTTGCGAGGAGGTTCGGCGTGATCGCTTCAAAGTCTTGCAGGACGCACATCCCGTACGTGTTACCAAGAATCTTGTGAGATTCTTTGTAGTACCTACTTGAAGAGTAAGCGCGATATGCTTTTATACTTAGTCACAATTTGATACGCACGTATATCGGATGTCGGTTACAGTAACAAAAATCTCGAATGGATTTTGTTCGTTCGCTTCACGTATCCCTCGTTTAACTTCGCGCTTGATTTTTGCCTCACGCTTCTTTCGATGGCTGGAGAATTTAATACTAAGCACATGCTTAGTATTTCTGTGGGTGCACTACATACCTCGTGAAACCAAGATCCTTCTTATAGCACCATAAGACGGACGGACGTGCCGAGACTCGTGCTTGGGAGAGGAGGAAGTGCAAGTTGACAATCTAAGAAGATGTTAAGTCGTGTCATTAAGTGCATAATGATGAGATGGCATACCTGGTCCCTGCCCTTGTCGCCTACGAGGACTATGAACGAGCGATGGTTTTCCTTGACATTGTTGTTGATGAGAATGGGAATGCGAGGATCGAGTTGCTTCCTCATTTAGACAGAAGGCTGGTGCAAAACTTGAATCGCCAATGCAAGAGCGACAACTAGGAGCGCGTGCTTCAAGAGAGACGGAGATTCTGAGAGCCAGTTTAAAAAGACAGGCTTCGCCTCGAATGCCAAAATTTCGAGACGAGACGATAGACGACTTCCTTTATTGGATATAAATGATCGCCGTCTTAGAGATTCCTTATATGGCTAAGCATTGAGACCGTTCCGATCTCAAGGAGCATCAGCAGCACGTTGACGGCCTGCTTTTCCGACGTGCAACGTGCAGCACAGGCCTTTCTTCGTCCTCCTCTCCTTTTTTGACTTTCACGCTTTGTCTTACTATTCTTTGCTGCAACTTTTCCCCTCAGTTTTCATTTCTGTTGTATTACCTGCAGCTGCTTCTACCGCCTGTGCTCTTTCCGCTTGTCTCTGAAAAGCTGTGCTTGTTAACGACCCCAGGCCTCTCCGTCTCTGATCCCTCCTCTTCAACTCCCGCCACCGTCATCTCTCAATGGCAAAAGCAAAGCTTGCTTCCCTCGTGTCGCGATATGCCTCACGCCTCAAGCGCAGAGAGCCAGCGCGCAAGCAGCGAACTCCGCAACAGCTTGCCGACATGCCAGTCGATGTCATCCTTGAAGTATTCCTGCATCTCGAGTTCACGGATGTGATGAGTTTAGCTCAAGTATGTCTCTTTTGTCTCAATGCCATTGTTTCATCCTATACAATATCCTTCTACCCAAGGTATCTCGTCTATTCTACGAGGTATCCGAGTCCCTCGCCATCTGGAAGAACCTCGCATACAAGCTCATGTGTCGTGGCCGCCGCATCTCGCTACACGACCACCTCTCAACGTCCTCTCTGACAGCAGCACAGCTAAAGCAATCCGTGCTTCTGACAACGGCTGCAGAAGAGTCGTGGCTTGGAGCAACGCCTACACACGTTGCGCGGCCGCACCCTGTCCGGCTGGACGACGTCGATCTTGACCATGCTTCGTACATAATGAAGTTCACGTCTCGAAGACACCTCGTGCTTCCTACCAAGGCGGGTGAACTGGTCGGATGGGATACGCGGACGAAGACATGCGCTGGGAAGTATGACATGGGCGCCGACTCGGTTTTGATAAACGTCCAGGGAGACTATGCGACTCGATCGTTGTATTGGATTACAGGGAAGATCTCTTCCGAGTGAGTGTATGCGTAACTTATTGTTTTCCATTCAGAAAGTTAAAACTTTGACATGACATGACAAGTCCCGACTTCGAGCAGAATTTGCATATTAAAATTCTTCGGATCCAATTCCCCGAACCTTCTTCGTCAAATCCTGTTGGCTTCGAGGTTTTAGGAGATCTAGTCACCCCATGGTCCCTCGCTGCAGAACTCCATTTCTTGGACGCCTCTCAAAGAATGATTTGTGCTGTTTTCTTGAATGAAGAGACCTGTACGGCGGGATTGCACGTCGTCTTGGATTGGAGTACCGGCTTAAGCTGCATCTTCGACACCGGCACCATTTACGTGAGTTTCACTTCTCAATACGTATATTCGCTTCACCACAGCTGACGGTCATCTTATGTAATAAGGAATACGGCCGCGCAGTAATAGGCCTCCACCTCTCAACCGACAAACAACACATCATCCTTCGCAGCGAACAATGCGGAATGGAAGTCCGTCGCGCCTACTCTCTCAACGAAATGAAAGAACGTGCGTTCATCTGGAACGCAGCACGTCGATCATCAATGATGCAGTCTCTGCCTTGTATGAAGTCTGTTGCGTTGGCGTTGACGAGGTGGGAACATGAGGATCCGGCATTTGATTACGCTATGGCTCCGCATACTGTTTGGGTTTTGCCGCAGTGGTGGCCGACTTTACCTGGTGTTCCACGTAGGACGAGTACGATTATTTTGTACCTTGCGCCTGAGGATGGGCCTATGGGGCAGATGAGACGCGTTTGGCGAGCGGCGCAGCATTATTCGGAGGCTGTTGAGAGTGTTTTGGAGGATGATGATGAGTTGGTGGAGAGGTATGAGTTATTGGGATGTTCAGGCGAGATGGTTGGTGGGGCACCATGTTCTTCTGCAAGAAGTATTGTGGATATTGGTGGAAACGCGGTTACGATTAGTCTTGGACATCATGGCCTACCGATCCTCGCGCAGAGCTTTAATCACCTTGGATGGATCGAGGAGACTTACGAAGATGATGACGATGATGATGAGAAGAGGTTTAGTAGGTTCAGGAAGTTACGTCCGAAATCGCTATTTGCTAGCGTTCGGCGAAGGACTCGAAGTCGTTCCTATTCCTCTGCTTCGTCTTCGTCTTCTTCCTCATCTTACGCACTTCCACGTCGTTGCAAACGCACCCTGAAACTAGTAACATTCCCCGACCCAGGCGTCTCACCCATCCACCCACACAACTGCAAGATATCACCTAAACCCAAAAACAACAATCGCACTAACAAACCTTACAACGACATCCCCACCGCCAACTATAACAGCAACAAAAAACACAAACTAACGAACTTGATACACCACTTGCACTCCCTCCCTCTCTCCCTTCGCCACCTCAAATTCCAAAACATCTTACGAATAGGAAGAATGGGAATGGGAATGGGAATTGGAAATAGGATGGGGAGGGCAAGGAGGAGAGAGAAACAAGGTGAATGCACTTGTACGATCTTAGAGCCGGTAACGCTGGACGTACCAGCTGAAGTCTTGGATGGGTGTTATCATATGTTTTTGGACCCTGCTGCTGGGACTGTGACGCTTGCTACGGAGGATAATGAGTTGCATGTTTATCAGTATGGGAGGCCTGGGGTTTTGTCGAGTTCTTTTGAGGAGGAGGTGGAGGGAGGTGAGGAGAAACGTGGTGCTGATGTAGAGGTGGAGATGAGGATGCATGTACCTGCGCCTCTTGTGTGATTGTTGGATTGAGGAGGGGTTGAGGACGGATGATTGGGATTTTGGATTTTTTTTTGTCTTCTTGTCTTTCTATTATCTCGTTTACTTTTTTTGTCTTCTTTTTTTTTTGAATGTCTGCAAGAGTATGTATTCTCGGTTTCTTTTCTTTTCTCCTCATTGGTGTACTTAATGTACTATCTTGCACTAATCTGTCTCTGATATGTTGTATGGCATGGTAAGTAATAAACATGCATTTTTATCTTGTCTTATTACTAGGTGTTTCCTACTGTTAGGGTCGTCGATTTACCAACACTTGATTTTACAGTTTTGGATGTGTGCAAGAGTATGTATTCTCGTTTCCTTTCTTTTTTTCTCCCTTCACTCGTCTAGTTAGTCTAATGTACTAACATGATCGAATCGTTTCTCATAGCCAAGTATACATTCTACCTTGTCTCATCAGGTCTCACTAGTCTCTCATACACAGCATTGTGTTAAGAATTAAAAATAGCATACATATTTTCTGTATAAGGTATGAGACTACACACACCGGTCCGGCCATCTATAGATTCTATACAAAGAAACACGTACGGTACAGCGGACAATAACTTCTTCCGATGGATGAGACTCAGGAGAGTTTGTTTAGGCACGGACGGGTGACCTTTTGACTCCGAGCCAAGACAATGAATGATACATATAACCCCGCAAAACCCCGCAAACCCCGCATTTGATTATAATCAAAATTTAAACTGCGGCCGACGCGCAGACACAGAGGTATAAGAATCTTGAGATAAGCTTGACCTCAATACTAAGTATACATCTATAATTTATGCCGATGTGTCTTGAACACCTCTCTCTACTGAACACTGCCCTTAAGTTTGGAGTATATACATTATCTGATCTGATAAGTCCTTGGATAGACGGAGAGAATCGGAATTGTTTTGAGTTTCCAGACAGACATTAATATTTGGACGATCATCGCGCGAGGACAAGACATTAGACAAAAGCTAAGCAAAACATAAAAATATCAACCCAATATGATGCTATTACTTAGTATTTGCGCATATGTAGACGATTCGAGGTTATCTGCGTAAAGTCCGGTGGTGATGGGGTTGATAGGTAATTCTTGGAATGGATATGGTTATGGTTCTTCAATACAGTGAGTGAAATGAACGAAGCTTTTAAGATCTGGAACCTAGGACGACAACGTTCGTTCATTCCGACTTTTTCCGTACTAATAACTCTCCTTACTCGTTATCATCACAGATTCATAGGTGCAAGGATTGGATGAAAGCATGTACTGTGCACGCACACCACATTAATATTGAGTAGGATTCTAGCACTGGGAAGCAGTATCTAGGAAAGGTGTATTTTCACTCAATAACTTGAGTAAGCCGGTTCGAATCCTTGTGAGGGATATACACAAGAAAAGAAACTTAGAAAGCCTGAGACCTGTGAGAGTGAGATGAGTAAAGGAAAGCACCCGGCCGGAGCACGGAATCCGCGAGCCGGGAGAGGATGAAGAGGCACCACCGCGTAATTCAAATGGTCTTCCTCAGTTCCTTTTTCCTCTCACCCAGGGCGGCTCGCCGACGGACCTATCACAGTATCTATCTAGGTCTTTACAGGAGAGTGTTGTTCCCATCGCGCGCCGAGGAAGGGTAGATACTGGTGGGCAGCGTCACCCTCGTTCTAGAAATACGTCTATAAATAGCGTTGGGGCATGCAGGTTCAATTTGAACGCGTGCCGAAGGGAAGTAGATAAAACTCAAACCCGGCATTGCCTAGCTGAAAACGTCGAAAATGTCGAAAAAATGCAGAGGTAGAAGTCAGCAGGGATGATGAGATGCGGGAGTAAAGCGAGTAAAACAATCATGCGGTCTGTTAGCCAAGGTTCGAGAAATCAGAATGCCATCAAAACATCACACCTCACGTGGAGCTCTTTTGCATTTCTTCTTCTTTACTAAACTACTTACCCGCATATATCATAATCGTAATTCATCTGTGCTCTCCTGCCCTATATATAATGCCCAGCCCTGTCTGCTCACTCTCACCGTCCTTGCTTTCTCCCCACAAGCCAGGACGTCCTCCTCCCCGAACCCCGCCAATTCGGTGAAGAGCTCCAGAGACCAGCGATAATGGCTCCGTACTTCCTCCGCAACCTCCTTCCGAAGCGGGACAAGACCGTAAGGCAGCGCACACTCCTCGCTGCTATCGCATCCTTCACTCCTGTCCAATGGCTCCAGCTCTTCTGCGGTTGGCTCGCATGGACTTGCGATGCCATTGATTTCTTCAGTGTATCGCTCAGTGTCACCGCCCTTCAGCACCAGTTCAACAAGCCAGTGAATGATATCGTTCGTGTCCCTTTTCTTACCTCTTACTGAGCGCCTAGATTCTGAAAGAAAGAACCTAATATTCTCTGTATGATAGACGACGAGTATCACGCTCACTCTTCTATTCCGGTCTGTGGGCGCTGTCATATTTGGCATCTTGTCCGACAGATACGGACGTAAATGGCCACTCGTTGTGAATCTCCTACTTTGTGCCGTACTCCAGGTTGGGTCTGGTTTCGTACAGACGTTCCGTCAATTCCTCGCTGTCCGATCGCTCTTCGGTAAGTGTACAATCATTTAGCACCACACAGCCTCCGTACATTATCGGCAAAAATAAGAAAATCCGATATGATAAGATCACAACTGACGACATTGTTCATCGTGCTAATATAGGAATAACTATGGGCGGCGTATGGGGTCTCGCAGCGGCAACAGCGCTGGAGAACTTACCTATCGAAGCCCGCGGGCTTGTCTCTGGTATCGTTCAGCAAGGATATGCGGTCGGCTACCTCATTGCTGCCGTCATCAACTTGCGTCTCGTACCCGCCGTTCCAGCAGACTGGCGGGCGCTGTTCTGGACAGCATCAGGTATCTCCGCTTTCGCTGCCTTCGTACGTGCAATCACACCCGAATCCGAGCTGTTCTTGCGTGCCAAAGCTGCGCGTGCGGCTCAGGGAGGTGCACAGACGAAGCACAAGACGCGCGTGTTCATTCATGAGACGAAAAAGATGCTGTGCCGACACTGGATATTATGCATATACGCAGTCCTTCTCATGACAGGGTTCAACTTCCTCTCACACGGCAGTCAAGATCTCTACCCAACCTACCTACAGCAGACCAAAGGGTTCACCCCCGACCAAGCAACAACCGCGACGATTATCGGGAACTGCGGTGCTGTCGCGGGCGGAGCGATCGCCGGGTGGGCAAGTCAGTACATCGGAAGGAGACTTACGATTTTGTTGTTCGTCTTGATCATTGGCGCGTTCATCCCGTTGTGGATCTTGCCGGATGGGTTTAGTCCACTTGCTGCGGGAGCGTTTTGTATACAATTTGGTGTACAGGGCGCGTGGGGAGTTATCCCGATCTTCCTTTCTGAGATTTCTCCACCTGCGTTTAGAGGGACCTTCCCTGGTGTTGCGTATCAACTGGGTAACATGGTATCTTCTGCAGCATCGCAGATTGAAGCTAGTGCGTCTCCCGTCTTCCATCTTCACATTCTCTTAATATCTAATTCCATTTGTGTTATATCCTTTTCAGCCGGAGGCAAACACCTCAAAACAACAATCCTCAAAGACGGTAACCTCCAAATCGTACCAGACTACGCAAAAGTCCAAGGTATCCTCATCGGCGTCGTCGCAGGCTTCGTCTTCATCGTCACTATCATCGGTCCGGAACATCACGGCGCGCACTTCGAGCGGGCAAAGGCGGCGTTTGAGGAAGGTGCTGGTGATGACCAGTTGGATGACGGTACAAGGGAGTTGGTGGATGGGGAGGATAGAGAGGATAGAGAGAAAGGAAGTCCGAGAGAGAAAGGAAGTCCGAGAGATTCGGTGAGGGTGGAGGATGAGAAGTCGTCGCAGGTTTGAATTTGTGTGTGCTGATGATGATTTTCGTTCCTTTCTTTCTTTAGGAATGTTGAGTGTCAGTTTGGGAGGTTGCCTTATGAATCCACATGTGTTTTCGTTGTTTCATTATCTACTCCTGTCAGCTACGAAATTGTGCTGGAGGGTAAAATTTCGATGACCTTCATAGCTTTAATGTATTACTACTACTTTGTTTCTTTTATACAGCCTGTTGTCTCCTTGACTTATCTCTAGACTCTACAAGCTCTCAACCAACGTTTCATGCGTGCGAGATATATTTATCGCATTACAACCACCGACATGTCTGCACACATACCGAAAGCCAAGTACACTGCCGCCTCGCCGAGCCCTGCCCAGCTGATCGACATGCACCGACGTGGACCCACACAGCGGATCCCATACACTGGTACTGCACCTCTGTTAGATCTGCTATCTTAGACGCTGTGCCAAGAAGAGCACGAGACGCTCGGGTTCATTGAGAATGACAGAACGTTAATGCAAGAGGGCAAAAAGAGCTGTACAGGAGGAAAGTCGCTCTACTCAAGTCTATCCGCAACCATCCCAAGCACCTCCCCCGTCTTCCTCCCAAAATTCCCAGGGTCCTTCACAACACTCTGCCAAACATCCCCATGCCTCGGCTCCGCACTCACACACCTCTCCTCCACCTCCCTCCTCCTCTCCTCACCACCATGTTCCCTCTCAAACTTCATCCACCAAGCCCAACAATCCCCCTTATCCGGATCCGTCGCACAAGCCCTCGCAAACCACTGCCTCGCCTTCTCCACCTTCCTCTCCGCCCAAAACAACCTCGCAACAGCACATATCACAAGTGCATCACCCGAACATTTCCTTAACGCGTCTGCAGAGCGAGCTTTCCTCGTAGGACGAGGTTCAGACCAAATTGCCATAGCCCAAAGTGTTCCTGAGGTAGGACATTCTTGTAACCCTCTCGCGAGGACAGTCTTTGCTTGTTGAGCACTACCTGCACGTTCTTCGACACCAACTGCTTCAGCCCATAATCGCTCACTACCTGGGTTTACGAGTCGAGCTTTATCTAGTAGGGCACGCGCTTTGATACTCTTCCCGTCTGCTTCTTCTAACTTACTTGCTAAGATCCAGAGTGTGACGTCTTTGGGACAGGATTTGAGACCTGCTGCGTAGGAAGCGCGTGCAGCTGCGTAGTTTTTGTTTGAGTTGTTTGAGTTGTTGTTGTTGGGTTGGTTGAGTTGATTGGATTGGTTGGATTGATTGGATTGGTGGATTTGGCCTTGGATCATGTAGAGTTTAGAGAATTTGGGGTATTTCTTGATTGCTTGGTCGAGGATTGAGAGTGCTGTTGTGTATTGGCCTTGTTGGCGTTCGAAGACGGCGGATTTCATCCAAATCTACAAAGAAATATTTAATTCAGCAATCTTTCTTTTACGAAATCCATAATAGGGAATAAGAGATGATACTCACCCTTTCGGTATCCGCTACCTTCCTCGCACGCGTGAGCAACTCACGCGCAACGTCGAACTCGCCATTCTCCGCCTCGAGCTTAACAGCAGCCAACCAAATCTTCTCGCTATCCGGGTTCGCAACGAACGCCTTTTCGAGAACTTCACGCGCGCCTGGTACGTCGTCTGCTAGCCACCTCTCTTTGGCGGACATGAGCCAGAGGTCTTCTGCTTGAGGACAGTGATGTACAGCCCGAGCGAGTACAGCGTCGAGTGATTCACTAATAAGTAAAAAAGTATATGTATGTTAGTGATAGCTATACATGGTTAAGAACAATGATGACATACCGAGTCCCATGAGACTTCTCAAGAGCAGCCGCCTTCTCCCACAACATCCGTCTATCAGGGAAAACCTTAAGCGCATACGCAAGTATCGCTCTAGCAGTCCCAATCATCCCTCTCTCCTCCGCACTCTCCGCATCACCAACCCACGTATCAAGTCTATCAGCCTCTTCAATCTCCATACCCACAGTCGCTTTGATAATCGCCTCACACGTCCGGGGTGACCCTTCACTCTCACATCGTTCAGCCTCTTTTAACCATTGTTCGCGGGTGAGAAGGACTTGATGTCGACGGAGTCCGCGTACGCCTGCTTCGATGGTTTTGTCTACTTGCTCGAGCTCTTTCGTGCGTTGGGATTCGGACTTCCCTTCTGAGTGGGCTTCTTGTTCTAGTAGTCGTCCGGCAGCTATCCAGATTTCGTGAGAGGTTGGAATAGCTTTGCGTGCTTTGTTGAGTACGGCTTTTGCTTTTTCGGGTGTCTCGAGACGTGCGAGAGCGAGCCACAGTTCGACGGAGAGAGGGATAACTTCGACTGCACGAGCAAGGAGAATACGGGCGTCTGTGATTGACTCTTCGAGGTTGACTGTTTCTTTCCATAACCGAACAGAATTCGGTATTTGTTCAAGAGCTAAATCGTCAATTTGTCAGTGTCACGTTGAGTCATTAATCAACCAAAACAAACCTTTCCGTAGCACGCGCTTCTTGGATTTGGTTTCCTGCTCCAAGGAAGCTGCCTTTAACCAAACTTTGACACTTTGCGGGACATGTTGTACAGCGTTGGCTAAAATAACTTTAGCATCTTGAGTATTCTAATAAAAGGGTAATTAAGGTCAGTAAAAGCATTCCTTGGTACTACAAATCGTAGGTGGCTTACGTGTAACCGAGCCGCCTCTAACCACACATCTTCACTCTTCGGACAATTCTCGCATCCAGCTTTGATAAGTTTCCGAGCAGCGACCATTCTACCAGCGTGTTCCTCCACACAAGCTGCAGCAATCCACCCAGGCGCATGCTTCGGGTTTGATTTCACGAGCGAGTCAAAGAGCATGCGAGCGCGTTTGATGTCGCCTATTTCAGCCTCGGTTTTGTGTACGACGCTGGCAAGATCTGTTAGGTAACCCTTCGGGTCGATCGAGGTGGAGGTACCAGAAGTCGTAGAGGTACCGGAAATCTGGTCGAGTTTGAGCGAGAGGATCTTATCGCGAGCTTGACCAATCTCTACGAAGTTGGTAAGGGTGCCGGATTCTGCTGGAGTTACGAGACCACCGTTCTATTCAAAGTCCTTAATCTCGAGTGACAAATTTGTAGAGTATATCACAACGTACCTCTTGTTGCATAGGATCAAGAGCACTCTCATACTCCGTCTTAGACCTATCGCCTACAAGCACACTATCCGGAACAACGAAGCTCCTCTCATCCTTCTTCCTCTTCTTCCGCGTAAGGTTCCCAACCTCCGGTATACTATCCCACTCTTCATCAGTCACCGACGAAAGCCCTCTCTTCAAATCCGCAAACTGCTGCTGGATCTTCGGTCGTTCCGAACGATGTTTCGCTAGTTCTTCCGCTTCACGTTTCTCCCTATACGTCAAAACCAAAAAGAAAAAGAAAAGAGTAACATTAGAAAGTCCTGAACAACAACGAACAGTGACTAACCAGAGTGAGAGTGTGCACACACCTTCGTGCTCTCCGTCGAGCATCCATATTCTTATCCACCAACTCATATATCCGATCCGCTTCTTCATCATCCGCTTCGTAAGTCATACCAGCAAACAAACCCATTTCGTTATCTGGATCCTGGAATTGGTCCGGGTCATATTCAGGTTCTTCACCTCGTTTTGCTTGAGCCTCGCTAAATTATTGAGAGTCAGCATTGTATGAGGATGTAAGTATGTATGTATGTATGTATGTATGTGCTACTCACGCAATGGCTTCTGCTGAAGGACCTTCCCTGGCAGGACCGATATCTGACCGAGTCGTGAACCCGGAGGCACCTCGACCAAGACCAGCAACATAAGAAGCTGGTGCAGGTTGCGACAGGAAGGCCAGTTTGTTAGGTTTGTTCGCCATGGTCGTTTAGTCAAGGCGAGCTCGATCAAGGGCGCGAAGTAAAGTTTACGAGACCAGCAGACACGGCAGCCTCTAGGACGAGAACGGTGAAGGTTGCTAAACAAGTTGCTCAAAGATCGACTCGACCAGTGCGGGAAGCGTATAAAGTAACACATTCTCACAAATCGCCACGTGATCTTGATGCCTCACGAAGTAAGACCAAGAAATACTTTAACTGCTACGAGTCATTATTCAATTATTGAGCAGTTCTGTTGTTACGTTTCGTAGAACATTTACAACCGTTGCACTCATTCAGATTAATGACAGACAACAGAAGATTATGAAACATAAATATTGATGCGAAGCACGATACAAAGCAACAACTTGAACAAGAGAGTATATGCCACTCGATACAAAATATCACGGAAAATAAGAACATGTATGTCCACATCCCAGAGCGAGCAAACGAGAGAGAAAGACGTGTTAGTATATTTATATAGAGGCTACCACGCGAACCTTCATTACCCCCTCCTCCCCTCCTTCATCTCTCATTCCTCATCGGTCACCGCCCACACCAATTTGCCGCAAATGGTACGCCCCGTTAACACCAACAGGTATCGTACCATACGGCGAACCAATCGTATTCGAGAATCCACCTAACCCAGGACCACCAGGTGTAGGAAGTGACGCAGGCCCTCCACCAAGCATACCCGGTGCACCGAGGTTCATACCCTGTTGCTGACTCCCTCCCTGTTGCGTTTGCCCCTGCACTGTCAGACCAGCCTGTTCTCGCGGCGGTGTTCGTTCTCGCTCCGCACTCGTCACTGCGCTTCGCCCGTATTGTACTAGTCCATGTGCTGAGACTGTATCGTACGTCCCGTTTGTCAGCTGTACCGCAGTCTTGCCGAGGCCGTATAATTTGCCCTTATACTCGGAGTCGTCGAGTAAGTCGTCGTGGTACAGTTGACGCATCTTGAAGAACACAGATGCAGTTAAGAGGGAATCCGATCCGGCTTGGTGAATGGGGCCAATGCGCACAACCTAGAATGGAAGAGGAAGAAGAATCAGATTGGTGGGGCAAGACGACTGAGCCACACAACACGCACGTCTAACATTTTTGCCACATCCTGTAGCCCACCCCGCAATTTACACGTCCTCATCATGTACTTCACGTCATACACTGTCGGAAACCATAATGAGAAGAGGTCAAAGAAGTCTTCCTCCATCGGTGGTAGTTGGACGCAAGATAACAGCTTGACGAGGTACCCAAAGTCGTAGCCACTGTAAATTCTTCAACATATGTTCCAGTCCCTTTGATGCTAAAGAACGATATACCTATGGAAAGAAATCCACTTCGTCTCATCCGTAAGAACAAGTCCAGAAGTGATCAACAACTCCGCAAAGTCATTCGGCTGTATGCCCTCCGTAAGATGTCGTTGGAAGTTCAATCCCGATTCTCGCAAAAGTTCAATAGAATCCGGGCTAAACATGTCCTCCTGCAAGTCAAATTGGAAGTTAAACTGCCACGTGCACACATCATCCGGTAAGTTTCCCTCCGCATCGCTGAGTGTTAGACCAATCTGGATGATCTTGAGCAAGTCGACGTTACACCGCATTGTCTGGTAGTGATAGTCCGAGGATGTACGGAATGTGCCTATTGGACGCGCAACGACACCGGGAAACTCTGTGTCCTGTAAAGAAGCGGTTATCAGCATCTCTACTGAGGAGCGTGTGTGGAGTGGAAGCACTGACCATGGCCACGTACGGATATCGTTCAACAGTGTCACGGATGGCTCGCATCTCCGCGTCGAGATTGGACGCCCATACCTCTCGTATTCGTGCCGCCATGCGGCTGTAAAGGCGGGATTTGTAGTTAACCTCAGTGGATGATGTTGTGGAAAGGTCTCAAAGGTGGATGAGGAATGGGGCTCACGTCGACCGAAATAATGCTTGTCCGTTTTAGGAAAGATTTGTCAACACTCATTGACAATTACAATTCAATACACACACACACACACACACACACGCATATATGCCACGAAATTCACGATATAATCACCATTGTCGAAATTGAAGTAAACAATGTACAGCAACGCAAAACCACTATCAATACATAATGCGAAACCAAAACGAAGTCCAATAAGTCCATTGCGCTCGTGACCCAAATGTTCATGATTGAAAGAAATTAAAGGCACCGTGCCGTGTCGTACATACACATCCAGAGGTCATGATCGTTAAATAGCATCCAAACCAAATGTCAAAGGTCTCTCTTAAACAAGAACTAACATGCAAAACAGTGGAATGATGAATTGCAAGAGTCGCGAATGTGTGATTTGGATAGCAGATGAAGAGGTGTTTGAGCTAGTGTCACTTGATGCTGGTGGTGCGGAGGCAGAGCCTGACTGAGTCGATTGTGCTGCTAATGAACTTGTTGAAATCTCAGATGCAGTCGTTAAATTCGCCGGCGCTGGAGAGGGCGTGGCCCCGGTTGGAAGATTGGGCGCACTGAGCGTCGAGACCGTCGGCTCGGAGGTAGGGCCTGATTCGGAAGTAGAAGCTGCAGTCGAGCTGGTAGTCGACGGGACCGTCGAGGGAGCAGAGCCGGACGAGCTTTTAATAGTGAACTTTGGGGATATGTTTCCTGAGTCGCCCAGTACTACATGCAAGTCAATTAATTTATGGACTGAAGCAGGGCAGAGGGATGCTTTGGAACGCACGCGCTATGATGTAGTCGGTCCTCGGCTCCACGTCAGGAACTACAACATCGACTGAACCACTGGTAATGTCAAAGCCAGAGGCAAGCGGACTGTCTGTGGAAAATTGAATATTTATTCGAATTTGGAGTGAATCAGCAAGAGATGCGCTTACCGATCATGAGATGTTCATCTCCACTGGTGTCGTTCAAGAAACCCAGCAGAACCGTCCCTTGCCGGTTCGTTATTTGTTCTGGCAAACCAGATGTATTCCTGAAGTAACGGTCAGAGAGGATGAACTGCCACCTCAGCGGAACACGCACCATACGACTGTCTGAGTGTCACCGACAGTCCATACCGTTGAAGCATTCGGAGCAAGGACGGGTGGATCCGCAACGTCCCTTCGCGCCAGACCAATGACCAAGGGAACTGCCTGTGCGAGCTGCACAAAACATGAGGCTACGACAAGGTAGAGGATCGTGAAAGGGGTCATGACGAGGAGCATGAGGACGTGAGGTGTCGTGAGTAGCCTGAAGATAGCCCATGTTCCAAGGAAGGACGGTATATATACTATAGGCCAGCTGAGCATCAGAGCATGTGCGGGAAGATCGACGTCTTCCCACGCAAGTCCTGATCCCGTCATATTTCAATTCACTCACCCAGTCCAGGACGCGTTCTCGGCGCACTTACCTCCACTCGCGCTGCACCGCCGCAATCCCTAACCCTTGTCCTCAGCCCGCAATAATGACCACGGGCAGGCTCTTTGGAGAAGCCCTACCGGTACATATTTCCTCTGCCAAGCCAAAATCATCGCTAAATTCACCTCGGTACAGGACCAAGTAGACCGAATTGCCGCCCTTTCGGAGTCACAGCTCGGCTTGCTCTCAGACGTGAATCTCTTGATTCATTACTTTCGGGAAGCCAGCCTAACATTTCCATCCGCAGATTAGAGAAATTTACAAAGAACGTGCCGCCCTTGAAAAGGAGTATGCCGGAAAACTGTCAGTGCTGGCAAAGAAAGCGGCGGACAGGAAGTCAAAACGCATCGCGTCTCTTGTCCTCGGCGAAGAACCTTCGACGGGATGGGGTGAAGACACGCTGCGTATGAGGTACGTGGCACGTATCATTCTACAACTCAGCTCATAGTCTACATCTACGTCAAGCACCCTTGACAAGGCATATAGCCAGCTTGTCAGCTCATTGGACAGCACTGCACAAGATCACTCGACACTTTCGGATTCTCTTATCACTCAGGTCGCCGATGCAACGAAGGTGCTTGAAAAGAAACATGAGGATATGAAGACAAAGGTACAATCGGGTACGCATTATCGGGAGTCCATACTCATGAGCACAATCCAGCAATACCAGTTCTACCAAAAGTTGCTGTCCGACAGGGACAAGGTGTATGCTGATCGACCGAAGGTTCGTGTTAACCACGTCATACTCGGATCATGCTAATCGTAGTTACGCTGCATTTTGCAGACGAAGGCAAAGGTGCGGCTACAGATACTCTCTGCTCTCAATGACAGGTTGCTCATTTCCTGGCTTAGTACGACGAGGAATGCCTGGAAGTCGAGTCCTACCGTCGCAAACAGGTCAGCATTATCAATGTCACACAATTTCGTCATTGAACATGCAGCTTAAGAGTGACCGCACTAGGACCGTTCCCAAGATGACAAGCACGCAAGCCGTGCTGCCAAGCAATTTGATTCGCAAACGGTAGAAATGCAGAACTGCAAGAAGTGCGTACAAATTTACTGTCCGACTTCATTAGCAGTGTTTACTGATCTTTGTTGTTGTTTTGTGCAACAGCACATATATCATCTCAACAGCAATTGCCAATAGAACGAAGGACCGATTCTATCAAGATGATCTCCCACTGGTTGAGAACGTACGTAAAGGCATCGTCACAGTACACTCCATTCTGACCCACTTCCCGCTAGGACTTTCGTAAGGCTTGAGTAATCTTCTCGTACAGCTTTCTAACATCTCGTTCAGAACGTCTCCAAGCAAACCTCGTAGCCGGACTAGTATCCATCCTTCTCCAAGCACAAGAACTACATACCACCCATCTCACAACAGTCCAAAACCGAATTAACGGAGTTCGTAGTGCTTTGGAAGCTGTGAACCCCGCTCCAGACCAGGACTTGTACATTACATACAACACGCGTGCTTTCAGTGTGCCGAACGACTGGGGCTGGGAACCTTGTGCGGGTCATTATGACACTGGCGAGATGGTGGTGGATCCCGAGCCGAAGATAGTACTGCAGAATAAGCTCTCGAGATGTAGGGAGAAGTTACAGGAAGTGAATGGTCTTATTAATTCCAAAAGTGAGTACGTTTATGATCAGCACCGTACGATTTAGTTTAGGGTGATTCTCTAGAAAGGGATGTGGACAAGCTATCGAGTATCGTTTCGACGTATATGAACGACCGTAGTCTCGGATCAGTAGACGACATAATGAACGTCAGTTTTCTCCTTCAGGTTACTTTGAAAGGCTTAATGAACGGACCAACCGATGAATCGATACAGGATTACCTCGGTGTTCAACACGAATTGACACTTTTAGAGTTTTCGGCTACGATCTTGAACACTGAGATAGATACTATTAGTGACGCTTTAGGAGGTGAGTTCTCCTTCCTTCCGCTCACTTCCGCTCCCTTCCTAATTCAGTGAATTAAATCGATGTGATTGACTGATTGGTTGATTTAGGTGACGAGGGTTCGCAAAGCCCACATAACTTCAAGTCTACTTCGTTCTCTATTCCGACGACGTGTGGTTATTGCAAGGTGAGCGACTCTCTCCTTTCATCACTTTCCCTACTTGCGTCACATTAAAATGACGTTATTTATATTTATTTATTAGTCCTCGATTTGGGGACTAAGCAAACAAGGCAAGACGTGCAGGACTTGTGGACTATGTGTCCACGCGAAGTGCGAATTGAAAGTACCTGCCAGTTGTGGTGGTAGCAAGCGTTCGTCTAGGATGCCAAGCGCCATGTCTAGTTCGGATTTGTCTCGAGCGGATTCACGAGGTAACTAACTACTACTCCACCATGGTAGTGAAGTGGTACTTATAATTGTTTTACGAAATGAAATGATTAGCATCAACGATATCTAAAGCGTCGACTTCGTCCACACCTACTGCTTCTTCCTTTGCAAGGCCTCATACGGTGCCCGACGAAGTATACCCGCAGGCACGGGTGTTGTATGATTTCACGCCGACTTCGCCGTTCGAGCTGGCTGTCACCGGTTCGTATCGTACCAAGCTCTCTGCAACCATTTGACATACCTTATCTAATCTAACCTCTTCCTTTTATTCCTTTATCCTTTTACTCCTTTTATTATTATTATAGATGGTTTAACCGTCCAAGTCCTCGAAGACGACGACGGCTCTGGATGGGTAAAAGTCGCAGATTCGAAAGGAGGCAAAGGTCTCGTTCCTGCTTCGTACGTTGAAATTATCGACGACGAAGGTGATGAAGAAGCAGCTCCCACTGCCGCGCCACTGCCACCAAGGGTACCTGTCACTACGAAACCGAAAACACTAGGTTCAGGGAAGTACGGTAAGTTATCTCAACCGCATATTCTCCTTGATGGAATAACAGAAATTGACATTGCTTTTTTAATGATCAGTTCGAGGGATATACGCATATCAGGCCAGTGGGCAAGAGGAAATTAATGTCGAAGAGGGTGCTTTGTATGAGTTGTCTTCTGGTGCGGGTGGAGGAGAGCATTATGCTGATGGTTGGTGGGAAGGTTGGTAACTTCTTGCATTTTTTGTTTTTGTTTTTTGCTCGTCCTTTCTTGATGTTTAGTTCTGACTCATTTTTGTTGACTTGGGTGAATAGGCTATGATTCGTCGGGTAGGAAGGGTATATTCCCAAGTAACTATGTGAGTACTATTTCTGTTTCCTCTTGAGAAAAAAAATAGTGCTGATGGGACGTGAAGGTTGAGCTAGTATGATAGAGATTTTGTGTAAGTTATTAGCGAACACGAGTTTGCTTTGGAAGGAACCATAGCTCTGCTGGTGATCTAAAGGGAGGCATCCAATCCCGGTCTAAGTTACAAAGATGAGACTCCTCGCGTGGAAAGGGTATATTCCCAAGCAGCTTTGTGAGTAATACTACTTCCTCTTAAGCAGGAAAGTCCAAGCTGACAGACGTGAAGGTTGGCTTATTATCATAGAAATACATGTAAGTCATTAGCAAAGGCTTGCTTTGGAACAATAGCTTTGCAGTTTTCGATCCTGGTCCAAGTATGTATGTATGTAAGTTGTACCTGGCAGGTTTCGTCGACCCTAATTGCTCCGATGCCTCGGAGCGTATACCATATTTGACTTTGTCTTTCATTGCAGAGAGTTTGACTGTCTAAGTCCTTGAAGACGATGACGGATCAGGATGGGTAGGGGTTGCATATTCGAAATGAAGCTAAAATCTCAGTTTGCGAAGGAGAAGAAGTTGCTGTCACACCACTTGTCCTAAACGTACCTGTCCATACAAAGCCGAAAACTCTGGGTTCAGGAAAGTACAGTAAGACATCTCTTTCCATATTCTACTCAGAGGAATAACAGATTTTGGAATCACTTTTTATCACCAGTTCAAGGATTGAATACATACCAGGTGAGTGGCTAGATGAAATTAGTGGCAAAGAGGGCACTTTGCATGAGTTATCTTTTGGTACAGATGGACAGTATTATGTGGATTGCTGGTGAGACAAACAAAAACTAGTCATTTGCTTGCCCTTTCCAGATGTTTATTTCTGACTATCTGTTGACATTGTCTAGGATATGATTTGTCAGGAAGAAACAGTATATTCCCAAGCAACTTTGTGAGTAATATTACTTCTCAAGAAGAACAAAGTTAGTGCTGACAAATGCGAAGGTTGAGCTAGTGTGATAGAAATTTATGTAAGTTATTAGCAAACACGCTGGTAGGAATGTTTAATGACTCGTCGAGCAGAAAGGGTACATTTACAAGCAACTATGTGAGTAATACCACGTCCTCTCAAATGGAAAAGTTGGAGCTGACGAACGCGATGGTTGAGCTGTATGATAGAAATTTATGTAAGTTATTAGCGAACGCGAGTTTTCTTGCTTTGGAACAATAGTTGGTACTCTGAAGGGCAGGAGGATTCAATCCTGATCTGAATATTTAAGTTGTAACTCGGCAAGTGCCGTCAACCCTATTTGGTCCGATTCTTCGGAGTCATGTAGGTGCACCCACCCTGATAACAATTCATCTATAAAACTTGATCATCTGGTCCCATCCGTACACTAGAACTCTGTATCCACAAGAATGCCGTTGGACATCGAAGGGTAAGCTACAATTCCACCCCTATACAAATCAATAGAAAAAGGCTCAAGCGTCAGGGACCCGATAAACGTACGATAAGCTTTCGTAAAGCAGGTTATCAAGCTATTGATCGTATCTGCGATTTCTATTATAACCTGGAGAAACGCAATGCGGGAGCTGAAGTGGAGCCTGGGTATCTAAGGAAGGCTCTTCCTGGTTCGTTTCCATTCTATAGAAATTCGATTTCGGGACGAAACCCGAAATTCTCATTCCGTTTTTGTTTTATGGAGTATCAGTATCCTGTTCAATGAGCTTGAGACTGAAATTTGAAGCATTTAGATCATGCACCTGAGCAAGGAGAAGACTTTCAGAATATTGCTGATGATTACTTGAAACTAATTCAACCTGGTAAGTTCGGAGCGAAGTAGCATATTGACTACCGATTTCGATGGATTATTACCTAACATACTTTATTTGTAGGTTTGACGGTTTGGCAACACCCATCGTATTTTGCATATTTCCCGGTCTCTGCTACATTTGAGGGCACACTAGGTGACTTGTATGCGAGCGCAATACCAAATCCTGGCTTCAACGTATGATCCATAAACTCTTCGGAAGAAGATATTCGCATTGTTCATAAAGGATATTACAGTGGGATTGTAGTCCAGCATGCACCGAATTGGAAGCCGTGGTAATGGATTGGGCGGCCAAGCTATTCGAACTTTCTGAAGCATTCTATAATGAGGGAGGAAAGGGTGGAGGCGTAATTCAGGTGCGTTCAATATTATAGGTATTGCTTACTAAATTCACCGTACTTTATACGTATTACGACGGTGTTCATCGCAGACGACCGCGTCGGATGCCGCACTCGTTTCGGTCGTCGCAGCACGTTCCTCTTATACACTGTCTCATCCAGGGATTGATCTCAGCAAGCTGATTATTTACACGACCACACAAACGCATTCTCTCGGTGCGAAGGCAGCTCTTATACTTGGCTTGCAAGTACGAGCGCTTGAGGTGACTTTGGAGGATGCGTTCTCGCTCAGGGGCGTTACGTTGCGAAATGCATTAGAAGAAGACAAGAAAGCTGGACTTCATCCGTTCGTCTTGAGTAGGAGTCTTTACTAACAGGGAGGATGAGTGATTTATTTTTTTCCCTTTGGGGCCACAGTCGCGACGGTAGGGACAACATCTTCTGGTGCCGTCGATGATCTTCCAGAGATATTCGAAATTGGTAAGCCTGACGGTTAACCCAAAATCAAGTCTATCAATCTTAGACGCCAACATGTAGCACGAGAACATCGGTCCCTTTGGGTTCATGTTGATGCTGCTTGGGCAGGGGTATCACTTGCCTGCCCTGAGTATAGGAATATTTGCCACCTGGAACAAATCAATCGATTTGCGCATTCGTTCTGCACTAACTTTCACAAGGTGAAACATCCATTGAGTTACTGTCGGATCGTGCAATCCGGCACCGAGTTTGCTGATGTCCTTGATTTCCCAACAGTGGGGCCTAGTAAACTTCGACTGTTCTGGTCTTTGGGTCCGCGATAGGACAAGTTTAACCGACGCCCTGGACGTCACACCGGAGTTTCTCCGAAACACCCACAATGAGGAAGGTAGGTGGTCAACACGAGATGCCTTCAAATGAGAAAGACAACTCACAGAGGTATAAATTAATGATTGGCAATAGGGACGGTCATTGACTATCGCAACTGGCATCTAAGCCTTGGAAGGCGCTTCCGTTCACTAAAACTCTGGTTTGTACTGCGCGGTCACGGCGTCGAGGGTTTCCAGGCGAATATACGAAAGGTACATATATATTCTGAATTCAATCCCTTGTGGATCGTCTCATTTGAAATGGAGGGGCTAATAGTAAATGCTATTTTAGGCGATCGCGCTGAGTGATCGATTTGCTGCCCTCGTCCGTTCGTCTACTGAGCTTGCCCTGGTTACGCCCGCATCATTCGCCTTGAGTGTCTTTCACGTAAAGGCGCCAGCTGGAGCGACAGACAAGATTGCTGTGCAAAACGAGCTCACCGAACGGCTTTATAGAAAATTGGAATCGCGTAGAGACATCATGCTGACGAAGACAGTGTTGAACAATATCTTTTCCATTCGCCTCGCAGTCGGATCTGTGTGGACTGAAGAGAGGCACATTGATGGTGCATACGAAGTCATAGTCCATGAAGCACAAAGAATTATTGCAGAAAATGATTAGATTCATTCAATGCATGCCTGTTCTTAAAAAAGATTAAAATAAAATAAATGCACTTTGTGTGTGGCATTTGTATATTGCAGCTGCCTGTACCTCGTAAATGATGGAGGACATCGCAACATATATTGCGTGCAGACATGCTAGCCACGTCAGGAAGCACCCGACGGAAATGAACGCGGGAAGCTGTCAAACGTATGAGGGTATATAAACATGCTATCCTGGTATGCGCACATCCATATCCATCTTTCTTGAGAACACAGTGAAATCTTTTGAAAGGAACACAGAGAAGCGACCTCTCAACGCAAGGAACCTTGCAATCAGCTCTGGGCAAGGGTCGAGCTCGATCGCCTCGGCCTTTAACGATTACTACAAGTAACCGGCGCAGGTCTGTCGAGACATGGAACCACAGGCGAAGAGAGCCGAACCCTTACTCAGAGCTTAACATGCATTCGGGCTTCCCGCCATTTAGGCCGTATCTGTTAACGACAAGAAACAAGACCAAGACATTTATGCGATTGACTCCGAGGCGCGTCGCGCTTTGCTCGGATCGTCATCCAGCCACAAGACCCTACACAATTGAGTGCAAATAAATGCTTACCTTGGGATATACTCCATTAAATTAGCATACTGGCCTATCAGCTTTTCAGAACTTCTTCAAGTCGAGCTGAGTCCCGTAATGCTTTAGTACATACGCTGACAGTGCCCAAACCGGCAAGACTGTATAGCCAGATGAGCCTTCTCTTTTGGAGTGAACGTGCTTACTCTCTCAACAGGCCTTAAGGGTCAGAAGTCGGTCTCCTAACCCCTGCAGCATGTGATACAAACAAGGCATTCTCCGATGAACTCCTCCGGTTCTCCGTTTCGTCAGTATGCACCACCTATCTGTAGTGCTTACCCGACCCTATGCAAAAGCCCGTTGCCCAGCAGAACTCTGCTAGCTCGTACTCTACCCAGCTTTTATGGGACAACGGCTTCTAGTTGCTAATACCCGCGATGCTCTGCCATCCGGAGCATTCATCAGCGCGGGGGAACGTTCTCCTAAGCATTGGGGGGACTAGAAGCAGATCTCCACCCAAGTTGAGTGGTGATGTAGAGCCTAAGGCAAGATGCGGGGTAAGGGTGGATTGGGGCAAAAAATGGCACAAGAGGAGCTCTCTTTATATCCTGTTATCGGGTCGAACGACAAGCGGAGACTAAATTTACGGAATTGCGGTCTGATCGCTCATCCTTCAGTGCAACTTGCTATGATGCATTGGTCTGCCCAGTCTTCCGTCCCACCTATCTGGGCCTTAGGCACTAGGCCTGTCCCAGTGCGGCTATTCTCGCAGTTGCATACGCTTTTATATCAACCGTATGACACCAGTGTCTTCTCCCGTCTCGCACTTACCACCCTCCAGCTTCGACATGAATTATCCGCTGAATGCCGACCCCTTCATGCGTCTCTCCGTGGCGGCCGAATCTAACTGTTGCTCTCGCCCCGTCGACGTATCTCTTCCGGCCTTTACGTTTAGTGCAGGTGCCCCTTGCCTCTCACGAACAATATCCAGGCAACTCGTGGTTAACGGATAAGAATACTTCCCCTTCTTCCACGGAAGTCTGCATCGTTTATGCCGTCGATGATACGCTTGGCGGACTGATGCCTCGGGCGAGGAATGTGGCGTCCCGGGCACCGATTGGTTCGCAGCTGTTGGACTCTCCAGCACGATCGGACCTTCGTAAATTCCTCGATATGTCATCCGCAACGCACGCGTCGTCCCAAGCCGTTCACAGCCAAGACCACGCGTGTCGGTTGCTGATGACATGGATAGCTTGATAGCACAGATTTAGACTGAAGATTCACAACCGAGACGAAATCTGGACACGGTATGCAATGTGCTATTCAGGTTCCTTACAATCGCGCCTCAAAGCCTATGACGAACACCGGTTATTGCGCCATCCGATTCCCAGCATTGACATTCAATGAATCAATCAACAGTGTTGACTGCATTCTTCTCTGAAGGCCGATAATTCTCAGGGTTCCTGGCGGCTCTGTCAACTATTCCCCGACATCCACTGGTGGTTCCTCACTCCCATCCTACTCCACGCGCTTCTTGTAGCTCATATATCTCTTTGGGGCAGTCAAAGCTCATCTCTGACGATGATCAAGAAGCGTTGGCCATCCTAAGTCGTTTCCATCCGGAGGATCTTGTGTACATTACACTAGTAACAAACTTATAATTGTTTCCGCAATGGTTGGTTTTAGTCTACAAACTACACAGTGACGATACGTCAATAGATATCCCGGAACGAACCGGTCCCCCTGACCACGGTACCTTTGTATCCTAGGCTGTTGGTATCCAAATACCTAAAGAGCCTCGCGGAACCTTTTCAGATTATCGTGGAAGGAGCGGGAGAAACGTCTAATTTCAGCTGACAGGGTCGTGTTTATACAATAGTTTCTTACTTCTCCGTTGACCAATTTAGCAGATAAACTTTACGTCAGAAGATTCAGCAATTACTGAAAGGCGCAGAAGGTTAGAAATATGCAACTGAAGGAGAGTAGACAGCATTGAAATTGCTATGTACTTTTTAGGTAGTCCGGAGCGTGAATACACCTTGACAATACTAAAGCCAATATATCCCGGAAGTTAAACTCTATGCAGCATGACGTGCTCGCTCCTCTCTATCTCCGAGACGTAAGTTTTCTTGTAAGCTCAGTCAATACTTTATCGTTGATAGACTTGAGCGCGATGAAGTCATGTGGAGCTCGTAAAAGGACAGACTGGCGGACGAAAAATACCTTATTGCATCACACTACATCACATCTTGACCCCGTTCCATCACCGAAACTTGCAAAAAAATGTATCCAAATGTATCGCCAAGACATATCTGAAAAGTGGATTACAGAAAATATAACGACCTTACATTTGACTGTAAACTTTGAATGTCAGTATACACACTGTCTTGCAAGATAGTGAACATTTTGGTGATGCTTTGCATAAATTTTACTCAGACTGTTCATCGGAAATTCCAATCAAAGTAAAGCATCATTCTATATAATTGTACAATACAGTTTTTAAGATTCCATCCCATTGTTATGTAACTAGATATTTTCTCCTGCTGGAGTCGCTGTCCTGCAACTGTATTGTAGGTTGTAGGTACTTGTTTGTATGCACCTGTTTGTTTGCTTACACTTCTTTGGTTCTTGCGAGTGCATTATGTAACAAAAGTATTACAACACTTGCGCAATAGCGCACACTTCTATTTGGCTTCATTCTAGGTAACAGCATAAAGCAGCAGCACAGCAGCAGTACAAAAGCAAAATCGAAAAACGTAATTAAGCATAATGCAAATAATGCAGTCGTCACTGACGATGGAGATAACCCACAAGCCTGCATTTTGAGTGGAAGCCGGGGGAATAAGAAAACAATAGGTTGGACTATGTGAAGTACGAATACAAGGGGTATTATTTATGTTTGGTTTCTTCTTTGGTTACAACAATGTCGACGTGGCCCCCGCGTCTATGGTTGTTTATTGGAAGTCGACTAGCGATCCTGGGGGGAGGGCATGTTGGGTGAAGGTGGTATCGTGCGGCCAGTTCAAACGATTCGAAAGCGCTCGAGACCCAGAAAAAAAAGTAAAGCAACAAAAGACCCAAGGAGTAAGCATGGATGGAACCCGAAAGAACTAGTCGTCTAGGGTGACCAGCTCTTTGACATGAAGTTCCAAGAAATTGAGATAACGCCGGTGTCAAGGTCTGCAATTTGTGAAAACACAGCGGGAGACAAGTCTGTCAATCAAGCAGTTGAAGTTAGACAGTGATTGGTTCTAACATAAACGTTAAATGGATTTACCAAGGTCATTCTCTCCACAGCCTGGGCAGCTGTCACGCGTCAATGCGTACGCGGTCTTGCCATTTGCAGAGTTCGTGATGGCGATCCACTGGGTCGAACATTCAGCATGTAAATTTAAAATAGCTTAATGATTAATCACCAACCTGATTACAGTTACCTCCATCAGCAGCATCATACCGGGTCTTTGCAATAGCGACAACGTCGTCGCTTGCAGAATCAGTGAACCCGCAGTTACCAAGGCCAGGGTAATACCAAGTGCCCTGAATAATGTGCAGTGTCAGCCATTATGCAGAGCATAGCGTAAAGAGTTACTCACCCTGCCGGTGTGGGTAATGCGCTTCTCGAGGTTCTCAACGACAATTCCGTTCTCCGAGAGCGGGGACGCTAAGACGAGTAGAGAGAACGCGAAGAACGCGACAAGGAATGAGATCACGCGTAACAGCATAGTGTTGGTGGTACAGTTGATGAAGGTAGAGGGGTAAGTCAGGTTACAGGGACCGCTTTGACGCGCCACAATTCTACAAAAATGCAGAGGGGATTCGGGTAGATATGGGGACCAGAGCACGGATGGGGCAGTCGAGCCTTCACAGAGGGAGGAGGGTCTGCTTTATACATTTTGCAAGGTGTTGCTGAAGTAATCTGAGAGACTGGCCCAAGCAGCGTGGAAGCAATCGCAGTTACGGAGGATGGCACAAAGAATGGCGACGGACGCACCCAGAAGCGAAAATTGTTGAGTATGAAATGAGGGTTGTTGACGCGTGTAGCGGACCGCAGCGTTTCGCTCGGAAACACATCAGTGCCGTAATTGGTAAGGTGATCCTGCTTGCAGGTCTGTTTTTGGAACGTGGGATGCACGTGTGTAACCTTACCGAGCAGCTCCTCCACCGCCTTCGTCGTTGGTTTCCTCCCTATGTAAACGTCCCTCTTTCTGCCACCTAAATTCCGTAAAAATCAAGCTAGATGCCCATCAATTACTATTACCTAGCTGGGTTTTCTTCCCCCGATTTTCCGCTTTTTGCCAGGCAGCGATGTTCCCACATTTGCACCCGCAGTCGTCCCGTGTGCTCCGAACAAAATTTTCTCGCTGTTATTTGCACAACTAAAAACGAGGTACGAGCTGCGCGCCACTCATTGGTCTCACCATGTTTGTGCCGTGTGATGTGGTCTCGGTGCCGGTAATAATTGCAGCAAACGTGAACGAGCGCCCCATTTTCTGCTCTTAAAAGATTTGGAGGCTTGGAGTTCGCGGATGTCTAGAACGCGGACCGCCTCCGAAAACCGACAGACCTCCCGCTTAACAAGTCGATCATTGGACCACCTGAGAACGCTCTATTTTTTGATCACTTGCCGAACACGGTGTGCAACGGAGCCTTTGTGAAACAGGAATGCTCTTCACTCGGAATTCCTCTGGCTGGGGATGCAGTAGCTGTTACCAAGCGGGTCCACTCCACCTGCGCAATAACCGCCCCGAAAGTACACAAAACCGGGACCTGAAATCAACAAGTCAAGGCGACCTCACTTGGACGAATTGTTCGGACTTTACATAACTTTATTCAAGGCCCAATCAGTCAATGGTTTATTTATGTCGGCGCCCATTTCTATGTGATGAAATAATTTCGAGGGGCAACAGGCTAACGTACCGCAGATTTCAAAGTTGTTCGCCGCCTTACTTGCCCGTTGACGCCGTTCCGGGATTAGACTCAATGCCATAGATGCCCCAGGAACCCGCAGTACAGGGCTCACGAGAATATGCCTTGAATACGTCCGATTTTCTGCGGGAAAACGTGCGAAACAACCCTCATCGATGCGTCTTGCTTACAAAAGACAAAAAAATCACTTTTCTATTCTTCGGCCGAATACTGGAAAGTCGATGTTCTCCTTGGGTTTTTCGAAGGAGAGAGACCCATCCGAATTCCGATGTCGATTCAATAAGCATCGCAATCTCTTTGTTCTAAATGGGCTATAAAATCTTGTCTGACAGGGTCGAGCATCCCCCTCCCCCTCCAAAGCTTCACTCATGCCGGAATCCGACGGGTTATGAACGCATGCGTCACCGTCATATTTCTTTGTCTTTGTATCAAGACTGGCATCAAGGCAACAAGCCACAGCTTAATTTTACCCTTTCTGCACTAGCGCCAAGGAACACGCTGGGAAAACATGGCCTTGCGTGTCAACCGTCTCTCCTAGAGCAGGACCGATTTCCCCGAGCGGCGGTGTACCAGTGTAGCTTCAACGCGACCGATTCCGTGAACGGAAGCAGACGCGTCGTGGCACGGGGACGCGTTCAAGACAATAAATTAAAAACTCATCCATTTCTCGCGTACAAGTATACACGTAATAGCGTGCGAGCTCCCTAGATTCCCACAGCATGGTCGCCGCGAGGATGCAGAGCGGACTGCGAATGAAGAGCTTTAAACCCTATTCTTGTATTCGGAATTTCATTGTTGGGCGGAGGGGAAGGTTGAACGTTATACCATACTCAATGTGTTGCAGATGAAGGCACCTGTGTCTGTTAAATTAAACACTTATTCGTGTTAACTTGAACAAGTTCTGTCAACGGCTTTTGTAGTTGCACGACAACATATCGTTCACCAGGAACTTAGGCTCAAAGGTAGGTTACATGCGGCGCTGATCACGGGCCGGAGCAATGACGAGAATCATCGCTACCCCCGGAGCATAATGAAATCAACACCTAGGTACAGAGCACGTCCGGGATACGCCTTCCGCGCACGGGCCTGGCATGATCATACCTGTTACTAGGATGAATTAAAGCGGTATTGCGAAACCTCCGCGGGAGGAGTTAACGCTCAAAGGCCAGACTTAGTCGATCGTCGTAAAGCCGAATTGATTGATCATCGATAAAAAGAGGTTAACTAATACAAAGGTCATTCGTATAGACACCGATGGAGCAAAAAGGAGAAAGAGGAAGAATGAAGAATAAAAAAGGAATAAAGATAAAAATACAAAGGAAACAGTCTCCAATACAGTGTCAAAGAAGGGTGTTGGAAGGATATTTATTTGCCAGGAAAGAGGTCATTGAGCACGAACTTCATTGCCGGAAGCGAAGGCTTTCTGCCCATTTGCAAGTCTTCTAGAATCTGCATTTCGAGAGAACGACTGCGTGGCCAATTAATACTGGCCTCGCAGCTTGAAGTAGTACCAGCAGGTGACTCGTACGACCTTCGAGAAGCAGATGCAGTCTGCGGTTTGTGCTCCGGCGCAGCCGATGACGACGAGGATGACGCCTCTTTGTGAAGCTTCCTAGGCCTATGGGAAGTTGCTTTGCGGTTCACAAGGTCTGGACGGGCCAGTGATAGCCTGCGTGAAAGCTCAGACCGGGCTTCTTTCTTTCTGCGTTTTTCTCTTCGGTTGTCCTGCAGCTCGCCTTGAGACATATGATGCCGGGAGGTTTGCATAGATGCTGTAGGAAGGCTGGTCCTTCTCGATAATATTGCTCCCTCGTGACTGGTCCGCTCAAAGGATGGCGCAATGCTGTTTGCTAATTCTACAACATCATCCCGAGCCGGCTGACTTGAGCTATGGCTGTCCGTCTGTGCATCAATTACTATGGATGATGCCTGACTGCTGTAATATAATGCGTTTCCGTCTTTCCTGCTAGAGCAGCCCATATTTGAAGTCATATTCATGAGGCCAGACCTAGAAGCATGCGCATTTGTTATTGTAACCATTTGGCAACATCCTCTGCCTCGCTCGTCACGAGCGCTTGGTGCATTTAATATCTCTTTAGTGCTTTCGAATACACGTCTTCGTGTATGTCCTGGAGAGGGACTCGGCCTCGGGGGTAAATGTGGTTTCGCGCCGCATCCGTCGTGTTTCATGATGTCAGTATCATTGAGAGCAGCATTGTCGTTCATGTCTTCGAGCGAATTGCTACCATGCGGAAGGCTGATATGTCCACCGAACAGGAACTCGGCCATTATACCAGAATCGTCATCGCTCGAACTGTCTGCATCATCTTCACTTTCTAAGTAAACCGGAAGTGCCTTCTGCCGCGAGTCTCTGAGAGCACGCTCAACGAGTGCAGAGATACCTTTCGGCAGGAACTTCATCAAACGTTGGATCAACCCGCCTGCATTGAGAAGCCCTCCGACCGCACCTGAGCCTGACGCCCAGATTCCTGCCATTGTCTCAAGCTCCTCGGTCGCATTGCCTCCTTCGAGATTTTGCAGTGAAGAATCCCTGATTACTATGTCGACCTCGAGGTTTTTAATTCCGGCTAGAGACAAGGACTTGGACATCTCATCTTGTATACGCGCTGCGCCACCCTCTTCCATGAAGGGGCCGAATATGTTCGGCATACATGCCCAGTCGAGGCCATGAAGACTCGGTTCTAAAAAGTTTGGCACGAGTCGTCTTGGTCTAAACAAGCCAACGAAATTTTGAAGCTCGGGCAGAGTAGAATGTCGGTGAAGAGGGACAAGCTGTTCTAGGCATTAACTAAAACCTATGATAATTAAAATTTAGTCCACTCACAAGAAGCATGGGTAGAGCACCACGTTCCATCATGGCTTTAGTTTTAGCAAGATAAAGGTCCCAATTGTCGGAGCTGATATTTACAGGATTAATGTAGACTACACCAGGGTCTTCATTGCGGACTAGGTCGCAGCGCGCAAACCGTTCGCAAGCATGAAAGCGCGTTGAGCGATAATCTTGAGTGATGAGTGCACGGAGATCACGATCGCTTAGGCTTGAGTAGACATCGTTTTTATATCTGTCAACGTGGATCTGGAAATGTCCAGTTAGCTGAGCTCGGCCATGAGACTGCCACACCAACTTTAGATTCAAATGCCTGCGAGACAGCTTTGAGAATGTCTTCATAACCCCACGTCCAGACATTAATGAAAAAACGCATGTGGACGGGGTAGGCTTTCATTAAGTCTATGAGGCCGCTGACAGCTTCTTTCTGCACGAAGTTAGCATGAAATAACGTTGTAGCCGACACGACAAACCTTGGATGGTATAGTTTCCGAGCTGAGCATGTTCGCTGTGTCTAAGTAGATGGCTTCTAGCGTCTCAACTGGGTCCTGACTTTCGGAAGTTTCTGACTGCGAAGTAGTGTCTTGGACAATGTAGGGGCGCAGAAACGGGTTTTTAATGATAGAACCGATAAATACAGGTTCTGCACGGAAATCCCCGGTATGCAGGACCGCACCCTTCAAGCCTTCTATTAAAAACCTACGTTTTATTCAGCTGGAGTCAGTAAACATTAAATCCATGAGCCACTTGCATGACCGATCCAGGACAGTGATTGGCGTCAATTAGGGTAATAGTGACCCATTTGTTATTCGATATTTCAACCTTGGTGGGAACATGTAAAGGCATGCCACGCTTCAGACCAGGTCAACTTCTGTCCAATGGCATTGTAGGATATACTTACAATTAGGTCGAATTCATTACGCTTGAATACTTCGTTTGAAGCTTGCATCGGGAATTTCAAGTGCTCGAATGTTCGTTGTTTCTCATACACATAGTCCTCTTCTCTAAGAAATCGAGCCTGGTACGTTTCGTGTCTCAGGAGCATTTCCTTTGCGTCTTCTGAGCATATGATAATTGAGCCAAACGACTTGGAATTCAGGCCGATGATGTGGTCGGAGTGAGTATGGGTGAGAAGATGAAGAGCAGCAACTGTGAGACTTCCATCGCGAGGTACAGAAAACTCATCGACACGGATAGGATATGGCTTGACGAAGGAGTTGTACGGTGTTCCTGGAGGCATTCTTAGCGGGAATGTAACTGAGAGAGTAGCACTTTTTAAAGGGCCTCATCCCTCGCTGCCTTGCATTTGTTGATGTGGTCAAGCTCAAGTATTAAGTCTCCTCCTCATCGGGCACATCCGAGTTCCGACCGAAAAAACGCGAAGCATGTGACCGCGACTACATAAATTCTTAATACCAAACTAGTCACTGCATTTTTACCCTCTTGTCGCTTTATGCTCATGACCCACTTCCTTGCCTTTCAGCCTGACACATCACTATATAATCACTGTTGCTTTATAATGGGAATTTGTCTTGTCCTCTCCCATTTGGTTTATCCAACAAGCACCAGGAGCGTCTTTCTGGCCTGGAAAATGCCTCAACATTCTTGCAAGGCATGCTAGAAGTTTCGCCAACGTCAAAATGTTGTTCACTTTCGTCAACGTATGTGGAGTTCAAAGCTCCTGCATCTTCTGTCTGTCTGTTAGCAAGTAACTTCAGTGGAGCAGCCTTTTTCGCTTGACAATTAATGGATCTGCTTCGTTACTTCTTCAAGGTCAGGTCTTTAGACAAGAATGCCTTAAATACCCAGAGGGTAAGCGCCTTGCAACTGTTGATAACAACATAATGAATTCCATATTTACAGTTGACTAGATAGATCAGTCATGCTATCACTGTATTTAGCCCTCGATCTGTCATTTACGCATTGCAACGCTGTTCATGTACTCTTCTGAGCATGCTGCTTGATCACTAGTGGCAAGAGCCTATCGGAACTATCGGAGAAACTCTCTGAATAACCCAAAATGTCTTAATTTCGGTTATATACATGTACAATTCTGATCTTTTTGCACAGGTTTGTGACGACAGGCAACGAGTTATTGTATAAAAACTTCATGTACAACACTGCATCTTGACGTTCTCTCGCACTGCCTCATTTGCCTCGTGGGATCAGTCACGCGTACCGAACTCTCCTCTATCTCTTCACTAATGCGTCGTTCCTGTTGAGAGTTATGGCAGGGAGACAACCCCAGTCAATACTCTGGATCCATAGATTCCTGGAATTTTGTCGTCAATGGACGTCAGGGCTTTTAAACAGGCTTTGCGTTTGGTTTAATCGACACCTACATTTCTCCGGATCTACTAGCTTCTCAGGAAAGGGTATATCCACTTATTCGGGAGGTTCTGCGGCTGCATATGGTAGAAGGGACGATTTTGTCCAACTCACCTATAAAGCGAGCCCAACGAGTACCTGTGAGAGCACTGCTGTTCCCTCCTGTGTTCCTCGTGTGCCCCCGCCAGTATATCCACAAGGAATGATTCGAGTCGTAGAACCGGATCCTCCTATATCGCTCACTGTATCAAGCGATCTAACGGCCCCGCGCTGCTCAGAATGTACCGGGCGCAATTATCCAGAAAGTCCACATTCGATCGGTGGAACATCCATTGAGATCGACTCATCACTTGTTGAGCCAGTCGAGGCCATGAAGGCTAAAATTCCAATTTTAAAGCCTACAATGCCTTCAGAGTTACCTCGTTATGACCGAGGAGTCGTCATGTGCGTATAAGCTTTTCCAGCTTCATTGAATCAACTCACGAAAAGGCAGACAAAACAATACGGGGCCATGGACCTTCGGGCCACTTGAAACATTAACCGTCAATGAGTGCGTGCCTGAAATTTACTGACATACGCGTTGTCTGGAGTACTACTATAGACTTGGAGACATCTTTCCCTGGCAGTACCATGTACATCCCGAGGGACAACCGTATTATAGCCTGCTGCAAGGTTGCCATCGGTTTTCCTATCTGACGGAAGCAAACATTGCTGAAGCAGAGCAACGGGAAAAACTCGAGTACTTCATAGTTGTAATGGAAAAGAAAGCGGATGCACTTGCCTGCAAGTTACCAGTCCCTCCTGATGCTCGTGTTGTACTGGAAATTAGTGACAGCGGCGAATGCTCCTACTACATGGTTGATATCAATCGGCGCCTTATTTTCTGGTTGGAAGATCACGAATTTCCGAACTCTGGAGCTTCTTACTTCGGTGTTGGTTCGAAGAATCATTTCTGTATGTGCTCTTTCCCTTCATCTTTCAACTGCGCTAACACCAGAACCTCTGGGCCTCACTCTGCTAGACCATGCCCTCACACTCGAGTTCTGGCTGCATGTTGAATACTTCCCGATGAGCTATGACAGACCCATAGGGAATGTCATGAAAGAGCTTCTTGGGACTCTGAACTACTTCAACATAGGTAACTACTTGCTTTTGGGTATTGTCATTTGATATTTATACCAGCTGAGATTCCATAACTTCGACTGACTCTACGGCTCCATACGGCCGAGCTGAGCTCCGCTCGCTTATAAATTCCGTGAAAGATCTCTATGGTATGCTCAAGAGTAATCTTTATTTCATACTTTCAGAATTTAATACAGCTTTGGGAACTTCCGAGTCTTCAAACTCTGTAATTGTTTCAGTTGGTGAGTCACATTGCCTATTTGGAAGTCAAAGGTGATTGAACCTTATTTCTCAGCTCGATTAATGGCCTTGATTGGTCTGTCGTATCGTATAAATCTGTAACTGCTTCAAGTACTCATGATTGCGTGATTGTGCAGCAAATGAACGATTCTTCAACTTCTACGGTTTCCACGGAGCTCGACTCACTGTGACCCAGAGTGTCCGCGGTAAACTGCCGGACCAGCGTTCTCGTTCCTTACTCCTGAAGTGTCTGTCTCCAGTTCTATTTTATGCGCCTGAGAACTATATGTGGAGGCTTGAGAGGATCTGGGTCGACAGCATTTTGCGAGAGCGATCTTGGCAGGCATTTCATGACAAGCTTCAATCAGACTTGAGTGGTATCTTGGTTCTTGTATGTAATCTCTTCCCTTTGTTATATATAATATACACTGGAGTACATGTCATGCTGATTGATATTAATTTAGACAACTATATTGCTTGCTGCGAATGCCGGACTGATGGTTGTTCCTAGCGTGCTTGCTAGTGATGGCTCAATCATTATTTGGTCATCACCAGCAGCAGCTACGTCCCAAGTTTCCGCCGTTGCAAGTCTCGCCGGAATTGTTATCGGTCTTCAGCTCAAGGTGCAAGAAATTCGAATTAATGCGACGAGTCTTAGTCGGACAATGTCGCATGCTGTAAGTTTATCTGATTCTGCTGTTCTTTAGATGATATTTATTATCGATCGATCGTGTTCCTAGATTGCGTATCTCACTCGGGGCAAACATGAACAGCTCAATGTCGAAACCCTCGCTATCCAGTTCAGCCTACCGTACGCGATGCTGATGTGGGGGTATGCAGCATATTCACAATCTTCCTCTTACTTCTGAAATTAAATTTCCTCATTATTTGTGTGCAACGAAGTGTCATAACCTTCGCCGGATCCCTTGCCATCATGTGTTTTGACAACATTGACGGAACGCCCAGCCTCGTAGCACGTATTCTTTTCGGAGCCTTCTGGGTCTTCGTCTTCACGTTGGTACTATGGAGTACTCTCATAGGTTGGGAGTTCACAACGTACTCCCACTGGACTGATTTGTTTTCGCTCCCAAAGTGGAGACCGAGAACGGGAGGAAAACAGCGGGAAAAGGCTGTGAGTGAAAATGGGAAGGTGGATGAAACCGAGCGTACTGGTAAACAGGATGAGTTGTCGACGGCTGAAAAAGCGGCTCCGTATATGAATGTGTAAAAGTGTGTCTGAATATACCTCTTTCTTTGTTACGCCTTTTGTTGATACAGAGCCGTACCTTGTAAAAGTAATACAATGCGAAGTGCCGAATTCATTGCCTTGCAAAATATCTAATACAGTTCGTAGCACCTCACATGGTGTATAGAAAATTTATTCAAAGTAAGGATTACAAGATGCTTCTCTTTTGTGCCCGACCTTTATCCTTCTAACATTTAAACAAAAATGCCGCGAATTGACGGAGACGAAGCAAGCACACAATCAATATCACCGCATAAACTCCATATCAATTCCACAAAGAACAAGATGGTGTTCTTTTTTAACTTTGCTTCGTACGTCCGCGCAACTCCAAAAGCAGCGGATCCGGTTGCGAACCTCCGGTCTGAGCACCACCAGCTCGTTTCTTTTTGAAATGATTAGTAATGAGGAAGGCGAGGTCTGTTCGAACGAAGAAACAGTAGAATCATTGGCACGAGAACGTTCGGGAATAATTGAGTGAAATGACGTACCGAGACTTTGCTCGAAGTTGAGTCGTGGGTCACAGAATGACTAAGAACCAACCGGCGTCAGATGAACTCCTCATGCGAAGAGCGGACAAAACAGAAACAGAAAGGCGTCGTTGAATTGCGTACCTGGTATCTCAACCCAAGTTCTTCCTCCGTAAGCTCCATACTCCCACCTAGACATTCTGTAACACTAAACCCAGCCTCGTTGAACTCGCCTGTGAACTCCAAGCTGACACCATTCAGTGCTGAGTTACATTCGGCGTGAATACGCAAGCAGGCAGTAAGTTCGTCGACGATTGCTCCGAAATGTCGGGTTTTGAGTCCGGTGGAAGATGTATGCGTGCTGTTCGATGTGGCGAGAAATTAGTAATATTGTTATAGGTGGAGAGGAGAGGTATGGATAGTGGAATTCGCGTACTTTCCGTGCATAGGATCGCACACCCATGCAACCGGGTGGCCAGACTTCTGTACAACGGCGATGTGTCCTGCGAGGTATTCTGTAACTTTGCCTGCTCCATAGCGCGTAATCAATGTGACGCGGCCGCTCTCGCGTTCTGGATTCACGACTGGCAATATCAACCGTCAGCATAATTCATCCGAGATTCAATTTGTGTTTATCAGATTAGAGAAACGGCTTCACATCTCCCAAACGTCACAATAGAAAAAGAACTCACTATCCAGAAGTCTCACAAGTTCGTCACCACACATCGACGGACCCACTTTGATGCCAATAGGGTTCCGGATTCCGCGGAAGTATTCAACATGTGCACCGTCCAGTTGACGTGTTCGGTCACCAATCCATACAAAGTGCGCAGAAGTATTGTAAAATGCGCGTGGAATCCCGTCAGAACCATTCGTCTTGACAGGATCATCCTTTATCGAGGAACGCAAGGACGGAGGTACTGGAAGTGTACGCGTCAATGCTTCTTCGTAGCCCAGCATAAGACCTTCGTGGCTGTGATGAGAAAAAAGGCCGTCAATACGGTCCTCTTCTTCGGGAACGGAAGTTTGCAATTCGTCGAAAAGAATACAAACCTTGTGTAGAAATCGACCTCGCCGAGTACGCCTCGACCGCCTCCTTGTTCAAACGAAAGAGCTTCGCGTCCGGACGTCGCACCAATCGTGCTACTAAAATCGAGCGCATCTGCAAGACCTTCCGCTATCCGCTCAAATTCTTTCCTGTGAAAGCGTCCGGTATGCTGTATTCAGTATACAGGCGCCGAGTTTATTTATTTATATGCATACCCACCGTAAGGTTGGAGAACGGACGTGCGCGAGAGACCAATCGCGAGGATGATGTTCCTGGAGCGATGCGAACCCGGATTGCAACAATGAACGGACGCAGTTTAGCGTCGCTGTTGAATGGAAATAGGCACTACCCGAGTTGTGAGTACTTCAAAAAATGCTCCGGGCTTGAAAGAAGAACTTCGAACCTCAGCAAACGGTCGGGATCCGGAGTACGAGTGCTAGGGTCTAGACTGTAGTGATAGGCGGTCAACTAAAGCTGGTCAAAGCTGGGCTCCGGCCTCGAAACGTAGCATACTAGCCTATTGATGTTATCACCCCTAAAGCTCAGGACCTCCTTTCCGTCGACGATTTCTGTATCGCTACTCCTCGGCTTCGCATATTGACCAGCAATACGGCCTATTCGCACCTGCACATAGTTCAATTCTCAAGATTCGCTGTCTGAGGTAAGACATCGGAAAGAATACGCACAACAGGTACTCGGGCACCCCAAATCAGAATGAGCGAGAACGTGAGGATGAGTCCGAGCTTGGCAGAGATGTTTTCCTGTATAACAAAATTTCACGTAATTTAGCACAGTAAGCGCACAGTATATGCGATAATAAGAAGAGTGAGGTCGTACGTGAGTACATGCATCGAAGCTCTCTGCGCAGTCACCTGCATGTAGTAAGAACGCCTCATTACGCTGTACAGCTGCGAGCTGAAAACGTAGACGCTCGATCTACACGGTTGCCGTGTTGATGCTGTAAGTCCACTGTCCAGATGTTCAACATGTTCAACTGGGACACGCACTTCGCTAGGTGATACAAGTGGAGGAAGCTTCGCGACTTGTCCGAGTACTCTGTCGTGTCGTGGCGCAGTCAAGTTAAGATTGATATGATTGATATTGATATTGGTGTAAATATATTCATGTGTGTGGGCGTGTCAGTGTCCTCGATCGACGTGCATAGGACGTGAAGCTGAGGCTTTAGACATTAAAACTGACCTTTGCAGACGTTCTTCGTCGGGATATTTTACGCCCTATATTCGCATTTTTATTTCGATACAGTAGGACCGATACAGAGTGAAAGGACGCGGAAAGTCAGAAATGAATAGCATATACCAATGAACGCAGCTAACCTGAGCAAAAGGCTTGCTTCTCCAGGACGACGGCGTCCATTCATCCCGCACAGAGCTCTGACTTTCCGACATGAAATGACTTGACTTGAACTGCTCCTCGGTTTGCAGATGGAGGTTTGACTTAAAGGAGGCGAGATGTCCAGCAAAACGAATATGACTCCGCCGGATTAGCGGTTGACAGCAAAGCAGTTTCGAATATTGATGCCGGGACTACTTAGTTTGACAATGCATGAGCGAAGGTTCGTATTTCGTTTCCCCGTGGTGGTAGTTGAATAGCGTGCTCAACAAGAATGAAAGCCGAAATTTTGAGTCCCCGGAGCCGACGCAAGATAAAGCACCTCCGTTGATCTCGTCGATCACAAGTGATCTTATTCAGGCAATTGGGGTTACAAACGCGGAATTTCCGATTTCATTCGCAATGCAATTGCGTCTCAACGCTCAAATATAGCTACAAAGTAATCTACAACGACCAAAGCGTGTAATGACGGACAAGTACAAGTAATGATAACAATACGCGAAAAAAAAAATGGCGACGTCAAGTCGTGTCAGGTTTAGCTCATAGCCTTAGGGCTATCGTACGACGTCGAGTCGTTACTTCGTGGTATACTGGGGAGAGCCGGTCTTCCGACCACGGCCACAGGAGTATAAAGGCGAGGATGACAAAGCAGAAAAGAGGGTAAGGAGGAAAATCGAATTATAAAAAGATAGTATCGCAGGAAGACGATTAGAACGACGCAACATGTGCAGAACGGCGCTTGCGGTGCATCTTCAAGGAACGACCTGCCAGCCCTTCGGCAGTGTCGTTAGCACGGCGGAGGTTACGCTTCCTGGATCTGCATCGACCAGTTGCTGAGGGCTTTGCTGCACCTGCGTCGCCCGTTGCAGTAGGCGTGGCAGAGCTGCTACCCTTCGAGGAGGACTTCGTCGGGCTGGCCTTCGAGGATGACCCAGAGTCAGAGCCAGAGTCGCCGGAAGACGGCAAAGAGCCGCCGATCTTCGCAACATCACCTCCAGGGAACGTATATACCGTGCCAGGGTTGTAGAACTGCAGGATATGATGAGACTGGCTATTCCAGGGATAACAGTTTTAAACGTACAAAGCCCAAGATGCCAGGGTCAGTCGCCTTATATGCACCTGGGAAGTGAACACTGTTACACAATAAGTATGAGCCACAGATATGCATAGAGTAAGCGACATACGTTTTATCAGGTTCACCGGTTGCATCGCCGCCAACCTTGAGCTGCAGGCAACTCGGGTAAAACTCAGCGCCACCCTTCGTGCCAGAGTTCTGCAAGGCAATGATTTCGTGTCGCATGAGATAATTGCCCGAAGCCAAGTTCTTTGGAATGGTGACAGTCGTCGGAGCACCTGAGTCAAGGTTCTTCTGCGCCCAGGTATTTGAGTCCCCTGGGACAGACTCGCCTTGCTCGTCGATCTTGAACCATGCGATCGACGAATCAGGAGAGAAGGATGAGCAGTCGCCAGTGCAGCGTGCCATGTAGGTCATTATCGGGCCTAAGGCAGTGTTTATCAAACAGTATGCATGCCGAATGGACTGGAATAACTTACCAACATTATGGAACCAGTTCCCACCCGAATTGGCTCCCCAACTGATCTTGAGGACGCTTCCGGGATTTGCGGAGGCAGAGGTGGACGCTTTCTTGGAGTCCAAACCACAAATAATGTCCTGTGAAGTTGGATCTGTCACTGGACTGCCGGAGCTGACCTGCGAGTGGGTTAAATGCGGAAAATCAAGACGGAAGCGAAAATGGCGCGAACCTTGCGGAAGGGAGAATTGCCCGACGCGTTGGGACCATTGGCACCGGGATATGTCTTGCCATCAATAGAGACATCAGTAGGAAAGCCATGCGCGGATGCACGCAGATCAAAGGAAAGAAATACGAGAGCGGCAGAATGGAGGGTGGAAAAACGCATCATCACTATACCAAGCTGTTAAAAGAGGGTAGAATCGAGCCGACGAGAAGCAAGAGTGAAGAGGGGCCGCGCGGAGGCGTCCGGAACAAAGAACGACAGCAGACAAGGGAAGGGAAGGCGCCGGCGACAGACAGCAGAGACGAGTGAGATGGTGGGAGGAGAGGGAGGGGATGGGGTGGAGAATGATCAGCTGTCCTTGGTTTATAGCGTTTTTCGCTTGTCTTCTTCTAAAACACAAGTGCCGATACCGCCACCCTCCGCTGCCTGATATATTTTTTGTCTCGACACGACACGTTTGTCACTTTGTATTTTGCCATGCCATATCGCTGCTCCACTTTACTGCGTTAACTGTATGTAATTATTATTTACAATTTTATGCGAGGAAGTCATTTGAGCCCGAGCCTGACATATCCGGATCCGGAATATCGCGATACCAAATATGGAAGGCATGTATGTGTAATAGATCGACGCGCCACAGCCACTGCTTGCGTACTATGCAATGGCGCCTCAGTAAGCCAGCGGCACATTCCACAAATCGTCCCTTCGTCGACCACAACGATGCAACCTCTCTTCGACGGCGACGACAGACAGAAAAGGCTAATCAATCTCGGTGGTGCCTCCACAGTTGCTTCACATGATGATGTCCTTCAAAACGCAAGGGCAGGACGCAATGAGCGCCTACAGCAACGCCGCAGCGAAGAGGCGGCCATCACTATTCAGTCCCTTTGGCGAGGCCATGTTACAAGAAGGAGAGTCAGAGCAGAGTTAGCTAGCAGATTTGATTCAGATCCGTCGAGCATCGACGCGATGAGATGCCTCGTATTGCTCAAAGATGATGAAGAAAGATTGTGTATTTGGTCTGAGCACATTGTCAGTGATGGGCAGGGTAGGCATTAATAGTTTCATCTCTGCCTGTACTTATCTTATGAGTCCACTCTCTAGCTGAGCTAGCATCTGGGCCTGAACAAGGCAGCTGGCTCGTGCTGGTTTGCCAACTTGCTGTTCAGCTACTACGATCTGTCTCACGCGATTCGAGGTGAGCCATCCTACTCCTTCACCAGCTCTCACTTAGAATCTGAAATGTCACCATGCAGTTCTCAATATGCAAATACCCATCTCACTTTAATCAACGGACTTCTAGACCCTTCACTCGCGCAATCCCGTACTATAATGTTTTACTTGTCGCAACATAACTATTATCCCATTCTAAAAGATGCGGTCGAAAGAATCGTAAGCGCATTGCCATTTGCGGAGGGACATAAAATACTGATTTTTTCTCAGAATATAGACGCGAGAAAGACGTCGTCTGCGCTTCCGCTGCTCGTCCCCTTGTTCACGGCACCATTCAATCTGGCTTCCGGAGATTCCAAGCTCTATTCAACATATTTCGCAGAGACAGCAAGATACATTCTCACCATTCCACTTCTTCTGTACAGACTTCCCCTGCAATCACTTTCGGCATTTTCTGCACGTCTTCCACTTCATGAGATCCACCTTCTTAATCCGAATATTGGAAGCCTCACAGCAATGCCACTGAAGGACAGGTTACATTTGCTCGCGAACCTCTCAGCACTTATGCCTCCACGATATAAGTTTCTGAAAACTGCGCAGCCATTAGAAACCTTTTTGAAGCTCCTTTCCTCGCTTCTCTCGGGCTTGCCCGCTCATGCATTTGAAGCACCCGCTTCGGATGCAGCACAAAGCTCTTGGGCGCATGATGAAGATTCAGACGATGAAGAGATGCAGCCAGCAGCTGGTCCTTCTTCAGCACCAAAGCAACCACCAAAAGAGATGCTCGAAGTTGACTCGAAGACTCGGACGCGACTAAGTACATTAGGATCTCATGAGCACGTTTGTGCACTCATTGCTGCAAGTGTATCGTTTCCCTCAACAAGGCTGGCACTATATGCATTCTTCATGGCATTGTATACCGTCTGGCCTACCTCGAGACTGGATATTTTGTCGAGCGTCCTCGGTAGTGCAGGAGGTGGACTCGTACGAGAATTATACCGCGGTTACGTTCGTGGCTCTCCTCTAGCCAAGGAAGGAGACGATAACGTGCGTACACTCACTGATCCGACACACGGGAACGATTGGCTCCCGCTTTTGTTCTTGACGGATATTTATACTCAAGCACTGCTTACGATGGGAGATGACGAGTTTTTTGCTTCACGGATGTCGGCTGCTTCTACGACTTCAAAAGCCGTATATCGCAATCCACTGACTGTTGACGAGGTTGTGTCGTTCTCTCGTCAGCTCATGAACATTGCGTTTACGTTGTACTGGAATGAGTCAGCAGTCTCTGAAGGAACTGCGCCTGGGACACCCGTTGCTTGGGAGATTGTGCGAGACAAGATGACAAAGCTATTACAGGCTATACATGCCCGAGAGTGAGTAGTCTGCTAGCCTGTGATGTCTGGGATTTTAATATATTCTTTCTGCAGCTCGAGAAGACCTTTCACGCCTCAAAATCATTGGCTGTGCTCATCACAGATTGACCTCAATTCGTTCATTGAAGCGGCGGTGTAAGTCTCTGAAACGCTTGTATTCGTTGACACTTTAAATGAGTTGCTTTCAACAGGAGCGAAGACCAAACACTCTCTGCCTCTGGTAATACGTTCTCTCATCGCGGTGGACGTGCCACGAACAAACGACTCCTTACGCACCTCTCGCCACGCCTGGGTATATTAAACAACATTCCGTTTGCGATCCCGTTTGAGACACGCGTGGAAATATTCCGCACGTTTGTTAGGGCCGATATGATTGCATTTGCGGGAAGTACGTCGCGTTATGAGCGTGCTCACATGGCTTCCCGGGCACGCGTGGTAGTGCATCGAGGGAATGTTGCTGCTGATGGTTTTGATAAGCTCGCGAATATGAACTTGAAGGGCCTCATTGAGATTCAATTTGTTGATCAGTTCGGGAATACAGAGTAAGCGTCATCCTGCATGGTTCACTTGACAAACGCTAATTGCGGACATCTGTTGTATTGTAGAGCTGGGATAGATGGTGGAGGTGTATTCAAGGAATTCTTCACGTCTCTTTGCAAAGAGGTATTCGACACCGACCGCGGGCTGTGGCTGGCAACAAAACAGAATGAACTGTATCCGAATCCACATTCGTACGCAAAAGAACGTACGTAGCATATGTACTCTTACACAAAATTCTTTATGGCTAACTTTGTGATAAACAGCTCATAGCTTGGAGTGGTACCGATTCATCGGGCGAATATTGGGTAAGGCATTATACGAAGGTATTCTCGTTGACGTTGCCTTTGCCGGATTCTTCCTTGCGAAGGTTGGTTTTAACATTAGATATTGGACAAATGTAGTGCTATACTAATTTCGACATCAGTGGTTAGGGAAACAAAGCTACTTGGATGACCTCGCTTCACTTGACCCAGAGCTGTACCAAGGCCTTCTGTTCTTAAAAAACTACGACGACAATCCGCAAGACCTATCGCTGACATTTGCAGTGAGTGAAGAGGGTAGGTTTCACACTAAATATTTATTTTGATGTACTCACAATTATGCCGGTAACAGAATTCGGTGCTGCAAAGACAAGAGAACTAATCCCTAATGGAAGCAACACACCTGTGACGAAGGAGAATCGCTTACCATACATCTATCTAATGTGCCACTACCACTTGTCAAAAAAGATTCGGTCACAGAGTGAAGCTTTCTTTGAAGGACTTTCAGAAATGATTGACCCGAAGTGGATTCGGTACGTGCCCTGTATTGTTGTTGCGCACTTTTTTGGAGTGACTAACATCATTTATTCCTTTAAGAATGTTCAACCAGCAGGAACTACAAATTCTGATTGGAGGCGTAAACGCACCGATTGACCTTGATGACTTACGGAAAAACACGAATTACGGAGGCTTCAAGGATGATGATCCAGTCATCGAAGCATTCTGGAGGGTCGGTTCTTCCTCCTTTCTCTAGCAGGAATAATTTCATCTCATGATGACGTTCTTCCAGGTTGTTAGCTCGTTCGATCAGGAACAGCGTAGGATGCTTCTCCGATTTGTGACGAGCTGTAGTCGACCACCGCTTCTGTACGTCTTAATTGTTCGGTCGTTATCCTCTTTATCAATTACTAATTCGGGAATTCTGAAATATTTATAGAGGATTCAAAGAACTTCAACCGCTTTTCTCCATCCGTCGTGCTAGCGAAGACCAAAGCCGACTTCCTACAGCCAGTACATGTGTCAATCTCCTCAAGGTTCGTGGGTTTCTTCCTCTGAAGTGATCAATAACACATAACACAACTATGTTTAGCTACCTGCATACCAAGACGAGCGAGTAATGAAGTCCAAGCTCCTCCAAGCTATTTCTTCTGGTGCAGGCTTCGACTTGTCCTAGAGTAATATTACATAGTTGTTGCAGAGTGTTGTGTGAAAAATTGTTTTGTAATGTAATGTCTTGAAGCGTTGTATCAATAGATAATTAAAAGTATTCTGATATGAGCTGATTAGAGGCTTAATTACCGGAAAGCAAAAGCAGGGGAAAGAGAAACAAAGTACGGGCCAGAGCAAACTTTTCCGATACCGCCTTTTGACAAAATCGAAATTAAGTCAAGTATCATTGTCTGAGCATCACTAAAGATGGACATAAGTTCAAATAATGTGGAGATTGGTATTTAGGCTAGACAAGGTGTTAAGCATCCTGTCTGTAATAAGTGCAGGTCAAAATGTTGAGAAAGGTTTCATAAAAACGCAAATCATTTGGCTTTCAAGTGCCTCTGTCAACACAGCCCTAACAGACGCGTACATAATTTATGGTTTGGTGTGCCTGACACTGAATTTTTGGGCGCCAGAGCAAGTATTTATAATCTGTTCCAGGATAACCGCGCACCCGATCAAAAAAAGTTTCATAGAGAAAAATGTTCTAATCTGTCATTATTTATCGCAATAACATATATGTACATGGAAAGTTTAACCAAAATACATAAATAGGATTCTCCCATATATCAACCAATCCATTCGTCCATTTCACACACCATGACACATACTAATGATCCGAACTGCCGCCTTTCAAATTTAGTAAAGCCATTCTCTCCTCTTTGACGGCGAAAAGCATGAGCAAGTCGACGCCTTCGCTCTTTCGCCGGGAGACAGCTTCGCGAATTTGGTTTGCGTAAGAGATGTGCTGAGTTGGGAAGCCTGGGAGGATTGCTCGCCATGCGTCGTCGTCAGCGATCCATGTGTCGGACCTTGAGAGAGCGTCGAAAACGGTAGGAGGCACGTCGATTGCTAGAGCAGGCAAGGCTCCTGATTGCACGGCTGATTTGAGTCGCAGGCGGCCTTCGTAAGCTAATAAGAAAAGACATTAGCGAAGAGAGTCAATGCGAGATGGCTGTATGCGCGTACCTCGATCGAAGAACAGTTGCTTCGTAGTCTTCCGCTGCTTCTTCAGGCTTGTTCCCTCGCCAGGAAGAATAAGCTGTAGGTCCGCGTTAGCAGGGTTCTCCTTGATGTTCGTGGCTGTCGGGCTCGTCGACATATCGGAAGAAAGCGGTGTTACACCTGACGAAGCAGCGTCTATCTTCTTCTGCTCAATGATCTGTTGTTGGAGCCATGGAATAAGATCCTGCTTGGAAACTGATAGCAGGGTTGTAAATACGGGAATATTCGGAGAATGTGGTCCACATTACATTCATACTCTGTGCCGCGTAGGATGCTCTTCACCTTGAACTCAGTAGGTTCGCGTTGACCAGCCCTTACCTTCGGGTAGAGAGTGAACCTAATTTTTTTTTCAATTAAGGAAAGCCCAATCTGTGCAACGGTCTGACTTACAGTATACCCTCATTGTAACACCGATCCGCTAGTCCCTCCATGTCGGTATCAGACACTCCAGTTTCGTACATCAAATCTGCTCTAATACCGTTCCTCCAAAGGAGTGCGGCGAGCTCATAGCGCATCGCCATATATCCTGGTTGGAACGAAACGATGTACACGTCGCAGCGTCTTGCGTGCCAGTAATCGTAGGAGCGTTGGTTATTCTTCAAGAAATTCCTCTGAAAGGCAGCAATGGCCGAAGTGATGCGTTCAAGCGCAATTTGCACACCAACTGCGACAAATGGCTCTCGTTTTGTTTTGACCGAGGGCGCGTAGAATTGTGAAATAATATGATCGTACCTGTAAAGGACTCGAAAATAAGCAGATATGTCAGAGCGAGGCATGGTACACTTACCGCCCGCCAACTGCAAGAATGTCGATGCGTTTCTCGAGGTTGACTACCTCAAGGCACACTCCATTCTTATAGTAGTCATGACGTCGTCCTACCATGAGTGGTTGCACTCGAACGGTATTGTACAATCCCGATGACATGGCAAGCGCAACCGCTTTCGAGGTTTCAAATAGATAGGGCTTCAGCATAGCCGCGAGTGGTGACGAGCTCTTTTCCAAACGCAGTAAGGGTACATTGACGTCCTCATCTGCATCCTATTTAGACATTCCCTAGGCGGATCTATTGGATGAATCTACCCACAGTCTTCATAGAGCCACTCTAGCTCGTCGATCTGAATCTTTGAGAGCCCCTTGCGTTGCAAAGATGCTCGCTTTTGAGCTGGAGTGGCTTCGAATTCCTGAAGAACGTCCACAATGCTTTCGCGCAGTTTCTCAGGCAAGCGGCCGAGAACGATCTCCGAGACTGTGAGTATAGATGATCCTCAGCGTATGAAACCTCCGTGAAAAAAATCTGAAACGTACTCTTGGAATGCGAGACATGGATCTGGTATGTCTTCGCAAGGTTTGGGAATGTACACAGACATTCGTCCATTAAGGTGATCATTTCTGCAGATGCCGCTTGAAGGCCTGTAGAGATATCAGGCGTGATGACGTCGAAGATAGCCGCGGAAGAAACTGTAGGATGGGCAAGTGCAGCACCAACGCGATACATATCACCAATATGGTATCGCTTTATTCGCGTCGTCTTATGCCTAGCAGCTAACCTGGCAAAAGGCAGAAGAGTATTCGAAGGCAGGGCGACGATATCACCGTGAGTATCGAGTAACAGCACTTGACGCGTAGTCTCGAGATGCCTATCGGTTAATGGCATGAGGAGAGGTACGTCCACGTCGCGAGCACCGTGAAGACGGAATAGGCTCTTCAGATGTTCGATAACTGCGTCACGTAGAATGGCCGTCTCTGGGAAATTATAGTCGTACAGGAACTCTCCAGTTGGACGCGGCTTGCGTGAGAACAAGGACGCCAGAACAGCCGGTAAGTACTGGTTGTTATCGCTTGCTGCATACTGATTAAGTTCCTGCGAAAACTATGCACTCGACTAATAACTCACTCATGACGCCCAGCGCGGCCTTGAAGTACTCATCCTCTACTCTTGGTGGCAACAATGGACTCTGAGAGAGCTGAATGGCTGTAGGACGGCGTGCTGGTTCATGCTGCAATAACCATTGAATGACTGCAAAGTAATAATGAATCATGGTGCCTAATGAACAACGGAAATATGAAGTGCACCTTCTTTCTGCTTGCTCCGTTCAAGATCCCAATCAGTCGGAAAATGGATGTCGGGATGGCGCATCTTCTCGATAACGGCAATTCTCTCAGAGTCCGTACTGAAGAAGTAGTTCATCTCGAAGAATACGATCTAATCACCAGTCAGCAAGTATCAAAAGCGGATCCATCTAAGCAAGCTTACGCCAAGGCTGTACAGGTCCATCTTGCTATGATCCTTATCTCGTGATCCACCTCGCTTTGAAAGTATCTCTGGAGCAATATACAGACGAGTACCAACGTCTAACGTCATATCCCCTGAAAACTTCACCCCAGGCATAGGTGACAGCTCCGAAGGATCGACTGCAGCAAGACTGGACGTTGCAAGGCCAAAATCTCCGACTTTGCAATTTCCACTTGAATCTAACGCGAATACCGTCAGCACCTCCCTCAAGATGCTGTAGAGTGTACACACTGACCAATGAAGATGTTCGTCAACTTGATGTCCCGGTGCAACTGGAAAAATCTCAATGATAATTCGAAGACAAGATTTACATGACATACGATTCCGAGGCTTGCCATATGCACTAATGCATCAACTATTTGCAGGAACAAACGCCATGCTTCATCTTCTGAGATTCTCTCTGCAACAAGCTAGTACGTAGTGTGTCAATAGGCGGCCACGTTAGTATTTAAACCCTAACTTACCTCTTTCAAAGTCTGACGCGGAACGTATTCCTACAGGCGAGAGAATTAGTGACAGTGATTTCAAATCAAAGCATTGCTTTTACCATCTGGATATATAGTGTCCTGACCGTCATAGGAGCCGCACGAACTCTGTCACTCCTTTCGACCAGTTGCAACGAGGCAGATTCTTCTTCATCACTGCTGTCCTCGGCGACATCTCCAGAAGTAAAGTGTATGCTAGGGAACGATGACGTCTGTGCCTCTTCGCTATTCATCAATTCGTCTAAATCAATGGTTGTAGGATCTCTGAAGATCTGGCTGTCAGGAGTGTTGTTTCCAGTAGTCGTCCTGCCATTACTCTCTGAAGACAATGCACCAGCTGTCTGGTCGTCCGCATCATCAGAACCCTGCCCTGAATCCGACGATGTGGTGCTGGATGTCGGCTCTGATTCCTCGAGCCACGTCGTATAGTACCTCACAATGAAACGGTGGTTCAGACGGCTTAAGGCATTTACCTCGCGGTAAATCTTATTGTCCGGTTGGTAAGCTTTCAGTTTAATCTTCTTGACTTTTGTTGTTTGTTTATCAGGTGTCTTCCGTTTCGAGTGAAGGTCCAGAGTTCATTGCTTACCCGCATAAGTGGCACCATCCATGAGATTTTTAGCCTTCACAACTTGGCCGAAGCCTCCCTTTCCCTGTCGGAAGTGAGTGGTTAGCATACAGGACATACAAAAAAAGTTCGAGAATGACGCGCACAAGGACCTCCAACTGTTGCCAATCTTCTCGCCAACGGCTTGCTTTTCTCGTTCCTTCCGGACCCGCGAAGTAGCTATTCTGAGGCGAGTTATTAGGGAAAACAATGCGTGCCACCGGAGTTTTCAGATCTGTGGACAAAATGATAAACGAAGGGTTGAGTCTGAGTCTGTATTCAAGCATACCGGTGCGTTGCATGGGACTAGTACTAGGCGCTATGGTAATCGACTTAGAGGGCGACTTAGCAGGGCGCTGGTCAAGCCGTTCCATAATATCGATCGCGGTAGGGAGGGCATTAGACTTCTTGCCTAACTTAAACATGTCGCCCACTATCCGGTTCAACTTATCAGACAACCCAGCTGGAACAATATGCAATCAGCGCAGAAACGTATAACCGAGTGAAATGCTTTACAGTCTAATAGTGCGAGACTTGGGTTGGGGTATCTGTGCGGAACGTCCAGCCCCATTGCCATCTGGAGTACTAAGACAGCAGTTGAGTGTATGTCACGGCAACGCGTGTACAGCAAGGGGGATTCAATTGTCTCTCGGAATAGCCTATCGTAGTCTGGTAAGCTTCCGCAATTACAAAGCGAGAGTGAAGAAGTGTCCAACCATTCATCAGGGAAGGGAGGTTCAGAAAGATCCGCCGAAATATTTGCACCGAAAGGCTCTGACATATGTAAGTCGTGAAGCTTCGCGTACAACGACACGCGGGTCAACTTTATTATTTTTGATCCAGATGAGTGATCGACAAGCCCAACACTAGATGGACAAATAGCTGAGCAGGTGATAAATGTTCAGCTTGTCTCCCTACCAAGAGAAATAGATAGTTCAAATTACCGCGATGAATAAGACCGGCATCATGTATCGTACGCAGTCCCGTGCAAATTTGCATTAAGTACGACTAGTATCTGTTGTTAGCCACTAGATCGAGCTTTGTTAATGAATTAAATTACCGTTATACGTTCTTCCCGAAGGCCATCACATTCTAGAAGAACGTCTTTCAGCGTAAGCGACGGCTTCTTTTCCACGAGAATTGATATCCGTGTAGGTTGACTTGTTCGAGTTCCGTTCGATTGTACTGCAAGGACACGCTGAACATGGTCGTAGCTTGCCAACCTCGTGAGGCGCCTTGCTTCGTTCTCTACCTGGTCAATTTTCTTCCTTCCTATGCAAAAATGTGAGATCCTCGGAAATGGAAAATATTCAAACCGAACGAATATAGATTACCTGGATGAGTTTTATAGTAACTCGACTCGAATACAATCACGTGGAGCTCAAGAGTGATAGCAGGATGAGGCTCATCGCAGACAGGCTCTGCATCATATGTTGTACCAAGGCACTCTGCTGACAGGATTAAGTGATCTCGAGCTTAAAGGAGGAAAGACACACGGACCTTGACGGCCATGATACAGTCGAACAGTATCAAAACGGACGCCAGAAATTTCAATTTCAGAATCAAATGACTCAATAGAGGTCTCGACCAGAGGCTTCTCTGTCGCATCTGAAAACGCACGGCGTCTTGCTTTCTGCCGTTCTCTCTCTTCTCTCCGCATCTCTTCTTTGCGTAAAGCGTCTTTCTCGATTTGTTGGAGCAGCTGTTCATCAGCCTGAGATTGTTTCTCTTCTTCTTCCCTGGCAAGCAGCTCTTCTTTCTCACGCAAAGCCTGATGGTGATGGTTAGAAAGGTAGATAGGAACTAAGAACAACAAACCTTTTCCTCTTCGAGAGCGCGGTTTTGCATTTCTATCGCAAGCGATAAGCCACTCCGCTCTTTCTTGGGTCCTTCGGGCTTGTCGAATGCCTTTCTCATCCATTCTTGTGCAACCTCGATTACCTGAAAGGCGGTCGGATATTCAGAGAAAGCCAATAGATTAACAAAGAGACGCACTGCAAATACGGCTTCGGAGCCAAGGCATCTCTGTGCTTCTGCGTGTATCGCTCCCAAAAGTTTGTTGACTTGAGCTGGTGTGAGCCCTTTGGATTGAGGTATGGATAGAATCGGGATCGCTTTTGTCGGATACGCCTTAGGAAACTTGACATTGAGTACAACGTATACGTCGGAGCCTTCCTCTTTGTCCACTCGGATACTGAATTCGGGAAGCCTGGCGGCACCCTGGAATAATTTCAATAATCAATACAGGAAATGGGAATACCAGACCATATACCTTCCAAGCTTTTGGAGAAACATCGTCAAAGAAAACATCGGGATAGATGGATTTTAGTGCCTGTATTTCTAGATTCTGAGCGTCTTCGTTTCCACCCATGATTTCGTATGAGCGTCGAAGCGAAGTCTGGCAGGTCGGGGTACGCGTCGAGAATAATATGGATATCCTAAATTAGAATTTGGCAAATGGACTGGTGCCTGGAGATTGAACACAGTGTAGTGAAACAGCTTGAGGAGGGGGTCCGAGGGACCGGGTCACCTCACGCGTACAGCAGCATCATAGGCTCCTGCAGCAAGCAAAGCCCTCGCAACAAGGCGGTAATGGTGGTGGAGAAAGAGAAAGACTGAGAGGACTGGTCAAGAATAACGCGTCGAGTCAAAACGCGTCAATCATCATTCTGTGATTGTAAATAAAACGTAATACGCACGTGGCATTAGCCGCTCAACAACGCGTCTTCCGTTCCGGGCCATCACGTACCAGCACAACGCTTCTTAAGCTCTCTGCTTTGGTACCGCCTCAACGACTAGATAAAAGCAAGAAAAAGGAGAAGGAAATAAATGCGAGATGTGCGAATGGTCCTGGTTGGTGACGGTGAGTCTCTCTTCTCCTCATTGCATATTGACCTTCATTCTAACATGATTCCTTAGAGAGCGTTGGGAAGAGCACCATCGTCACTTCGTTAATCAAGGAAACCTTTATGCCCCATGTTCGTTCGAGACCATTTGACACTCAAACATGTTCTAACGCGAGTTTAGGTCCAGCATGTTGTGCCAGAAATCACTATTCCACCAGAGGTGACCGCAGCGAATGTGACGATGTACATTGTGGACACGGGCTGTAAGCTCACGCGACCTCCACCGTTTCGTTGACCAAACTGACATCCGCGTTTGCGTAGCGGGAGCACAGGATCGCGCCCATTTGGAATCAGAAATTCGGAAAGCTCACGTCATCTGTGTCGTTTATGCCATCGACAATCCCCATTCATTCGACCGAATACCCACTTACTGGCTACCTTATTTTCGACAGCTCGGCGTTAATGTGCGTTTGCTCCGCTCTTCCTCTTTTCAGCACAAACTCAATCTCGACTTTGCTTACAGGTCCCTGTAATTCTTGTTGGGAACAAAATTGATTTACGGAGCGGCGTCGTGACAAATGAGGCTCTCGAAGAAGAGATTGCTCCAATAATGAAGGAGTTCAAGGTACGCGTTTCTTTCGTATTGTTCTAACAGCGCCCGGATAAGCTTGGCTAGGAAGTGGAGACGTGTTTAGAATGCTCAGCAATGACGCAAATCAATGTCCTGGAGGTTATCCATTTTGCTCAAAAGGCCGTCACTCATCCTCTTGCACCACTCTACGATTCCCATCAGCACGTAAGTCCGATTATCTCAACACATATTCTGGCACTCTAATGAAGTGAACTTGTCATTCTAGTGTTTTAAACCTGCTTGCGCGAATGCCTTGAGACGAATATTCAAACTCAGTGATAAAAATAAAGATGGAGTGCTCGACGCATCCGAGCTGAATGATTTCCAGGTGAACTCAAACTTCCTTCTTAATCTTTATCGAGTCTACTAAATCTATTCCGTTCAGATGAAATGCTTTGATACCCCTCTACAGTATGCTGAGCTACAGGGCCTAATTGATAAAGTGGGAGCCGAGAAAGAAGATGGCGTTCGAGATAATGGCCTGACGGAAGAGGGCTTTCTTCATCTTAACATGACCTTCATGTGGAAGGGTCAACCTGAAACCACTTGGAAGATCCTCACGACACACGGCTATGCGAGCGATTTGAAGCTGAACGAGGACTTCCTTCATCCACGACTCGATGTTCCTTCAGATTGCTCCGTCGAACTGAGCCAAAGAGGTTACCAATTCTTTACTGACATTTTCGAGCTCTTCGACAAGGTATGAAAGAAGATGGAACATATCATAAATATTGCTTATTACTGTCTCCAGGATCAGGACGGGGCACTCAACAAGGCAGAGCTAGACCAATTATTCAGTACCTCACCAGGAAATCCTTGGTCCAATCAGAATTTCCCCGACACCACTATCGCATCAGACGCCGGAGCAGTAACGCTTCAAGGCTGGTTGGCCCAGTGGAGGTTTGCATTTGTGTCATAACCCTAGTTGCTTCTCTGGACTCACTTCAGTTAGTATGACCACACTTCTAGAATACAAGACGACTCTGGCCTATCTTGCTTACCTTGGATACCCGGAATCACCCCAAACGAGTGCACTGCTCGTTACGCAGCCCAGGAAAAAGGACCGAAAGAAAGGCAAGATGACTAGGAATGTATTCTTGGTCTATGTCTGCGGAGCAGCTGGTTCGGGCAAGACTTCCCTGTTGCGCGCCTTCGTCGGGAAATCATACCTTAAAGTATACCAGCCAACAACTAAGGTGCTCAGTGTCGTCAATTCTATCGATATAAACGGGTCGGAGAAGTACCTCGTGGTATGTCTGAATATCTACCGGATTTCTGTATCTTCACATCCCTTGTTTCATAGCTCCAAGAATTTGGTTCAAAATATGAGCCGGAGATCTTACGATCGTCCAAAAAGACCGATATGGCAGACCTAATTGTTTACGTCTACGATTCCAGTGATACAAATTCTTTCTCCTACATTAGCAATTTACGAGTGAGTGCTTGTGCGTGGTTTTTGAGATAGGTATTTTGACATAGAACAGCAACAATATAGCTTGAACCATATACCGACATTATTCGTTGCAACAAAATCAGATCTGGACCTAGCACAGCAGGTACTATGATCATTTTCTTCATGCCGAAAACACAAGTTTATCATTACATTACTCTCACAGCGACACGAAGTGCAGCCTGACGTGTATTGTCGACGTCTGAACTTGCAAGTCCCAGTAGCTGTGAGCGTAAAAGACGGGCAACTCGCTGACGTGTTCCACGTAATGTGCAACATTGCTCTGAACCCGTAAGTGTCATACACGTTCTCCACATTCGACTGCATTAGTAATGTCGGCCGAGCAGGTTGCGATCAATACCGGGATACAAAGATCGTGCGTTGACGCCTGCTGCTCGCGTACGTTTGTATATTACGTGGACTGCTGTGTTGGGTGGATTGACTGCTGGCTTGATGATGGTGTATCGGACGTTTCTGAGACCAAGCGGAATCCTGGGCAGCTGGGGAGGAATAGGAGCAATTTTCGGCCGAAGAGAGTTGTGACACGTTCCCTGCGACAAGCATGTTGTGTGAGGTACATTATTTACCTACTATTTTGCACGTTGGCGTATTCTACATTTCAACGGAAGCAACAGCGCCTGAGCTGGCCTTTACTGGGCTGTAGTGGCTAAGTGAAACGTCATAACTGTATTAATATTTCAACACGCGCCTCAAAACACGGATCCACAGGGCGTGGGAAAATTTAACTCGCGGCGTAATGACCACTCGCAAACGGCGTGCAGTCACTCTCCTTACTGCACCCACTGCCCTTCTTGTATTTCAGCTATCATCATCGATTGTATTGATTCAAGCACTGCTCACATCGCATCGACATCGCCAAGTCAGCAACAGTAAAACGGAGAAATACGCGTGTCTTGAATACAGATCTGTCAACCACACTTGTCTGTCTCTGAATTACCCGACCCGAGATGGATGAAGACAGTGGAATGTCGTTTGAGTCTGCTCCGAGCACCTTTGCACCTCCTCAGCAGCATCCAGGAACACCTTATGATCCTAATCGTAAAATGCTGTAGGTATATTCTGGACATTGGGTGTTGAATATGCTTCCGTTAACGCCAGCCTCATCCACAGTGATCTCGTGTTTGTGCAAGATTGTACAGGAAGTCAAGGAAGTTACATCTCGTCAGCAACGCGAAATATTGAAGAGATTTGCGCACACATCTTCACCTCGGGCAAACTACAGGAGCCAGAGGACCTTCGAGTTGGTCTCGTAGCTTACCGTGATCATCCACCGCAAGATCACACGTGGGTGTACAAGAACTTCGGCTTCACGTCAGATATCTCAAAAGTTCGCCAAGAGTTATCATCCTTGTATGCTACTGGTGGTGGCGATGGACCAGAGGCGGTCACCGCAGGATTGCATCAGGCGTTAATGATGAACTGGCGAGACCAGGCCAGCAAGATGGTTGTGCTCATTGCGGATGCACCGCCTCACGGCATTGGTGAATATGGTGATGGTGAGCCACAGTGGTCCTAGTAAATTCTATTTAGAAACAACTGACTCGGTACAGGGTTTGACGAAGGTTCACCGGACGGGCATGACCCAATATTAATTGCACGAGAAATGGCCTCCCGTGGGATAACGCTAGTAAGCATGCTATACAAAACCTGACTGCTTTTTGCTGGAGTTAATGCGGTATATACGTAGTTCTTTGTCGCTTGCGAGCCTGCATTAAGCGGCTATTCTGTGAGCGTTTTTTTCACGTTTTTGCCTCGCTGAACCATGACTAATAACATCCCATTTACTCATACAGTATGCCACTGACTTTTTCCAAGCGTTGACTAATATCACATCTGGCCTTATGCTCCCGCTTACAACCGCAGATTTACTAGCTCATGCCATTGTTGGCAGTGTGCTGGAAAATCTTGATATGGAACGGCTGATCCGAGAGGTCGGTCAGGCGGTTGCGTCGCGGATCCTAGGGTCAAACGAAAGCGTTGACGACGTAGCTCGCGAACTGCATGAGCGCTTGTTACTAAGGAATGAGAGTACGAAGAAAGTGGTGATTGAAAGCATCTACCGAGAGAGTGAAGAAGCACGACATAATGTGGAGGTCTTTATGAACACGCCATCGCTTCGCGAAGCCCGGCCGCACTTAAAGAAGGTATGTTGACTTCTTTTTTGTGTCAGTAGACTTATACTTAGCCGTGACAGGTCCGAGGAAGCCGTTTCACGGAAAAATACCTTCAAGCCCGTCTTCAATCCGCCTATTCATACACTCCTCGTCTACCTGCCCGCTCATCCGAGTTGAAGTCATCAACGACGTCTACTCCCGCTTCTCCTCCACGGACCAGCACGTCACCACCACGCAAAGTTATATCGGACTTCGGATCATTCAGTGCACCTGCTAATGCGAGTGTATTCGGTACCGCCGTACAATCGTCGCCTTTCTCACTCGCGGGTGGCAAAGCGGCTTTCGGAGGTATGCGCAATGGAAATAATGCGTCATTTGCGGATGAAGATGAAGAAGAGGATGATCGTGGCGATTTACTCGGCGGTCGCCAGCGAGTGGAGTTGCGTGAGGATTCGATAACTTTGGATCAGGCAAGTTTTACTTTCGTCGAAGTATGGGACGTTTGAATAACATGGAATACCCAACTTTTTTTGCAGGCGAAACGAATTGCAATCCAGAGTGCTTGGAGAAGCATGCGCGCTTAGAAGGCTCACCTCTTCTCTCTTCCTTTTTTCATGTGAAAGACAGTATTTTCTTCAATGCATGTAAGGTTTACTGTGCACCTTGCTATGTTCCCGTGGCCAGTCTAGCATTTGCATATACCTTCCTGCGTCATTGCTTTCTTGCATTCCTTTGCTCTCGCATCCCCCCTCCCCCCATTGAATGAGAGTTCCTCGTAATGTATATACAATTTGTATTATACGTCAGGATGACATGTCATGGCACCACGAGGTTATTGTGCCCCTAAAACAAAGTTATGTGATGCAATGATAGAGATGATTGGATATCAGTGGATGTAATCAAAGTCAATCCACTGAGGCACTTCAAGGAACACTTTTTCGAGAGTGAAGTTGGCGGCCTCTGCTGCGGTGAGGATGTGGTCTGAGACTCGTTGCGAGGTGTTTGCTCCGGGTCCTTTGCAAATGAGGTTAAAAATCATCCCAAAATAGAGAAGAGTATGGATGGTGATCCATCTCACCGAAGTTGTCAAACTCGGCATAGAAAGTCGTATTCATGATCGTAGGTCTTCGAGAAATCACTCAGGTTTTGTCATGTATGTTTTGACAGCGTACTCGCCTGGCGGCATCAAAAGGAGTCCAGCCAGCGGGCTGGATTGTGTCATCCATGAATGTACGGAGGTATACTGTTGTTGCAAGATCGTTCCACGGCCGGCCTGCATGCGGAGATATTTATTCAAGCGTTTAGTTCATTGTTTAGCAAGATGAAGTGAAATGAAATGAAATGAGTACTACACACCGAGAAAACATTTTCCAGTGATGTCGAGTGTTGCATTCGCATCTGGAGACTATACGTTCACCTATTCAGAAGGGCACGAAATGGAATTCCGAGTTATGGATACAGGTACTTACGCGGATAATTCTTGAATTGTTGATATATGCGCCGTATCGGTTTCCGGGAGCGTCAGTTAGGTTGGTGCCTTTCCATGCAGTGATGCCTCCACCGCAAGCTCTATTTGCGAGAGTGACATTCTCAAACCACCTAGAGAAAAGAAATGAGAATTCGGCGAATTGTTGATAGAGTCGTTAAATTGAAATTGATGTACGCAGTTCCGAAACCGAATAGATCTGGTGTGATTTTAACGGATACTCCTTTATATGTATAATGAATAAGACGTACAATCCGTTTGTCCGAAGATGATGCTATCGACAACATAGGTACTTGCATTCCGACCTGTATACCAAGTATCTTGGAAGCTTGAGAACGTGCATCCGTAGAATGAGGCATTCGCATAAGAGATGTCCGTGACGAGTGCCTGGGATATCGCGAAATTTGCCTGTAGCGGGTAAAAGCGTACATCCATATATCATTCAGTATTAATCAATGATCGAGTATTTGTATCATTTAGCATGAGTACATACAGCTCGGTTCTCAAAATCGATATTATATGCCTTAAAATCTGTGTTCCCGAAAAGCGGCTGGAGTGGTGCACCAGTTGGTCCTGCGCCAATCAGCGACGCATTGAATGAAGGCGCGACAAGTAGGACTGCAGATTGTGCATCGTCTATCCCGTTTTGCACGAAAATATTGTTCCAGATGTGAACCAGATTGCGTGTAGAAGCATTTGAAGAAGGAGAGAGAGCACTTGAGTTTAGTTTACCCTGGTATTTCGATTCAGATCATGAAAAGTAGCGATGGGGTCAGGCTCACAAGTAGTGTCAAGGGACCGCTCCTAGTTATATTTACCGTCTCATGGTATTCCCCAGCGCCAATGAGGATGGTGGCCTGTCCCTCTTCGGGTCTGAGCGGAAGCCCATTCAGTACAAGACATTGATGAAAAGTTGCACAAATTGAGCGTACAAGGACAAGATCGCGGTCTGCACACTAGTGAAATTCGCTCGCGAATCTGTCGGAGAGACGAATAGAGTACCGGATGGACAACCAGTTAGAGGAGAAACGTCATCCGATTTTTGAAGTTGACAGTCCGAGAATTTCGGAGAGAGTGCAGTCGATATGGTCACGAAAGCAAGCAAGATATCGATAATAATAATGAAATTAATATTACGAGCCATTTTTACTAGCAGAGGATTATTGCAGTTGCTCGTGGCACTCTCGAAGGGTGAGGGACACTTTGACCGTCTCGTAAGGCTCAAGCAGCAAGACAGCTCAGCAGCGGCGGCCAGGCTTCCAAGTCATTACTACGACAGGGGCGGGCCGCTAGACGGGTTAACGAGCCGGTAAATACATGCTCATCTATAATTGTATGATCACAAGAGCGACATTACTGCAGAAGTGAGTGACAGCTACGGTGTGCATGCGTTCAAGGGTAAACGTGGACAAAGAACTCGTCTAAACCTGGGGCAATCAGCTGCTTAAGTCTCCTGCAATATAAAAGACATGATGCAACTTTCGTGAGGCTGCTAGTAGACAACTAAAATGCGTGAGTATCATCACGAAAAAGTCGCAACAAATGTATTTAATAATAGCAAAAGTAATCTAATGAAATGATTTCATAAGCATTACATTCTAAAATACTACTTGTATTTTACTTGTAATGTAATTATAATGATTGTATATAAATGTAAGAAATATACAAAGTTTTTATTAAACTAAAACATGTTTTAGAGCAAGTAAGCTT